TTTGGCTGTCTTCCTTAACTTTGCACTCAGTGTTTGACCTTGCATGATTGAGACTTTTCATGAATGTTTCCCCTTCCTACTACGTGACGCTGGACTGATAACAAGGTGAAGCTGCTTTACTGCCCCCGACATTTTGTTTTGGTTCAGCTCACGGTTGTGCCGTGAGTTGACTGTTCATCTTTCGACCTGCTACTATAAACGTTTATTTGTTTAGTTGACTGTGGTAGACGCAGTTTTTGGCCCCTTTTGTCAGGAATATTCTCGCTGACTCTCAGGTACTTAACAATTGTATTTGCTCAATCAGCTTCAACTTTGTAGTACGTATTCGTGCCCGAGAGCGTTTGGACTGTACGGTCACCCAACGGCACTGTTGAGGTATTTTTTCAATTTCGGTATAACTTATTGTAGATCTGACGGTACCACAGATTTCATTATGAATCTACTACTGATTTACTGCAAACCATGGTCCGATATTTTTGATCCGACATTTGGCTGTGCGTCGCATACGGAAGTTTGGAAGCTAAGCGGTAGAACTCAGTAGCTTGTCAGATTCACGTTAGTTGGCACCACCCTGTTATTTCCCGCATTCAGGACAAGATTACTGCATTTTGGTTGTTACATCCGTTATCCGATAGTGACATTCTGAGGAGTTCAGTTTCAATATCTATCGTCATTTTAACAGATTCTTTAAATTCTGGACATTGAGAGAATGAGACTCCATCTACAGTCAGGAGGTACCGAGCCACCAAAGTTCACGGACTGACCAGTCCAAGTTGGTTTGCGATAGACTGATCCATGAATCAAGCCCTCATTTCTTCTCTTAAACTTTGCGCCCGGAAAGTGGAGTGCTGAACTTAATTGTTCCCCAGTGAATTGAACAGACGAGTAACAATCACTGAAACGTCTTAGCAGCTCGTTGAGTGGGTATGTTTCGTCACGGCTGAGAAGAGTGCCGTCAGCGTGCCTTCAGTGATGGCAGAGAAGAGGCGTGAAGATGAAAGAAACCACTTCTGAAGAGCTACAAAGCCATTGAGTGGCGTGAAAATTTCCCGTATGCACCCAAGCGGCACCTGTTTGTCCACTATGTATGACATTGCCGAATATTCAAATACAAAATTCTTTGTGCTTCATCAGAAACTACTGAACTTGGTGCAGAGGTGCAGCGTGGAGATCTTATCGGACAAGTTCAGGACTTTGCCTCGATGTCCACTGAAAGTTCTGAACGTTTAAAGTCTACACAAAAACATTGTTGCTATCAATACTCGCAAACACCATGCCGACAGTGAGTTATGGTATCCAAGGAGCACAAGGCGTAACTGAAAAAAGTACTAAATGAAACGGATGCAATGCCTGTACACCCAGAGAAAGGATTTGATGTTGTGGTTTTGGACAGAACGTATTACGTAGACAAACTGTGTCTAATTCTCTGCCACTATAATAGTTTTCTGGACTCCAGAGATAAAAAGAATAGTCGATATTGAAAATCAAGTGTCAAGAATCTTGAAGCTGCAAGGAAAATCCTCATCACCCCGGATATGTACTAATATGCCAGGCCATCTGGTTCAAAAGTACTTCGTTTATATGGGCCGCCGAACGTGCATCAAGAAAGCCTTCTTCTTCGCCTGGTATCGGATTCCTCTAATTCACCTCACCACTAAAGGCAGAAGTGGCTTGCCAAAATTTTTGAACCTGAGATGAAGTCTGAGTAAATGCGGTACTCGGTAGTTGAGAAACTCCTGCTTTAGTAAGATAGCGGAACGGACCTCCAGGGTTAGAAACGACCATGTCTGGAAGCCTAACTGGATTCTTTTGCCGATCGGCCTTTGTGAGTGGGTTTCTCGTCGGTATATATAATACATGTATTTATATTCGACACGGTTCAAGTTGTTTTTGATCCAGTGGTTTCTTGTCAGCCTAAGCAGTTTGCGAGTAGAGTTGCCTGTTACCTAAGCTACTAGGGGCTTCAATGCTGGTACTGGCGCAGATTGGTTGATAGCATGTATGATTCTGTCAAGTAAGAATCTTCAGTGGGCGCTCCCAACCCGCCATACATTGTCAACTTCGTAATCTGTCTGTTCCAACGCTATCTGAAGTGCTAATTCGTTTGAAACTCCAACGACGCTCATTAAGGTGCCTAATCAGTTTGGTTTCGCAGACATACCGAGAGACGATGTCAGCGTGGTTACCCTTGCCCGAAAAGGGTAGGATTGCTGGCTTGCGAATCAAGCATTCTTCACTCGTTAATATGCGCTTCAAGCGGGATGGGGCTTGAGTTTCCCCCCGTTGCGTTCCTGGCTTCACATTCTCTGTGGGTCCCAGCCCCTCAAATAGGCTGCAGAATCGAACCTGAGTGGATCTTCACTAATACCAGCTAAGTTGCCTGAAAGTTTAACCTTAAGTAGGTTGAAGTCCCTCAGATTTAGTATGTGTTCCTCAGTTGAAGAAAGCAACTGAATCCCTCTACCATTCCATTATCCCTCGGTGGGTCAGTGAGCGACTCCCTATCAATGATCCCTCACCAAACATTTGATGGACTTGGATAGCTTAGTGGAGCACAGGGTGAACTTCTCAGGACGGTCCACTTTTTGAATGTAGATTTGGTGGACTGTAGGAGAACAGCTAACGTGAAGTACCATCCCACATCCATTACCAGCGCGGAGTTGGCAGCTGCTAGCTCTTGATCCAACATTTCAGTGGAAACCCGTCTCAGTAATACTTATAAGATGAGCATGAGTGTCCCCACAGTTTGTCGAGTTTATCTGGTGAAGTTTATGCATGGCATAAATACAACGTTTGCTGCCTACACTGATAGCACTTTCTAAGCCCTCTCCGTTGTCCAGTCGGCTGACTAGATCCTAAGGTGGGGGCCTTGGAACCTGTCTGAAGACCGTTCACTCAGCGGCACCCGAAGAGCATGCTCACGCTTTCACAGACTCATTGGCAAACTTCTTTCAGCTTTCTTTTCTGCAATGCATGTTTCTCTCCGATTGGAATAGGTGGCTGTCACGCAGGAGCATAGAGGCAGAAAACGCCTATTTGTTGTTATCAGAGGCCAGTGCCCCTAATCTCATCAGTTGTAAAGGTTGTGGAAGGAGTAGTAGGTGATTCTACTGGTGATGTTTTACTCAGGAACTTAACGCTAAGTGATTGCTCCCGACAGCTTTTACCCCGAAGCTCGTGTACTATCAACTTGTTGATAGATTTGAGGAGAAAAATATTCTCGTTGGATTTACTGACTTTTCTGACGCCTTTGACAGGGTTGATCTTGATATTATGTGTTATGAAACTTCAGTTTATGAGTGCTTCTCGGATGGTATGGAGATTGTCTTGACGACCGGCTGCAATCGGTTGGAATTCTCGACGCCCAGTAGGGTATCTCAAGGTTCTACTTCTGGTCCGCCGATGCTTCTTGCCCTTATAAGTGGCCCATAGTGAACTTAAATTCTTACTCAGTATTATGTACTCAAGGTTTGTAAACCTGGGGGGAAATACAGGGCCGAAGTGCATCCTATCTTCCAAGAAGGCCCATCCCAAATACTGGTTTAGACAAGTAAAAACCTGCCTCTTGGCAATCCTGAGACGTGTGGGATAATGACAACGGGCAAGTATGGGCTCATTTCTAGTTCCCACTACTTCCCGCTCAAAGATTGAAGAAGATCTAGGAGTTGCCCTCAGTGATATATGTTTAGCTTCTGCTCATTGTCTTTCTGCGGCTAATAAGGCCCATAGAGTCGCTGCGTCTCCTCCTCCAACTTTAAGGAGATCAGCTCCTGGCCTGTTCGCTACACTGTACGGACATGTTCGTCCGCATCCGGAGGAGGTTGCAATAATCATATTCTCGCACTTGAAGAGGGATTTCCTATCGCAGAATGGGTTCAAAGGTTAACTTGTACCATATTGCCCATAACCTCCTTCATGACTCTAGAAAAATCTTCGACTTTAATCAGAAACCCTAAGTAAGAGGTCAGCCAGTAAGTGCGAAGCATGGAGGAGCAAATACGGAGACGCGTATCAATTCCTTTGTAGCTGGGATGTGTAGGCCTGGGAATTCCCATCCTGGTGAAGTTGCTGCGAAGTTACCTACACAAATTCTGTTTTATTGCCACTGTCACCGTGCTCTCGACTAATTCTAATGTCTCCCGATGAGATGTCTCACCCTACCAGTTACCATACCGCTACTCATATCATTATCTAAGTGGTTCATATGGCTGAAACAGTTGTTGGCGGGATAGAAGGGCTTTTGCTTATCTTCCGTGTCTAAAATCCGTGGAACACTATTTCTTGAGGTAGTTAACCTGTATACAGATAAAAAGAGGAAGAAGTGGCATTTAAAATGTGAAGATTCAGTCAGCTCTGGGCAGATCACAGCCAGGTGTCTATCAAGTCCCCAAACAGCGTTTAGGGGATTTAGATGAAATAGCCTGAATCACGTCTGCAGGCAGAGGATCCCGGGGTTTAACAACTTCCTTGTATTTTTCCCATTATGGTCCTCCCTGCTTCTTTCCTCCCTTCTGACTTTCTACAGTTCCATCCTTTCACTTATGGGCTCGAAATCACTGCTTCCCTCCCCGTCTACTCTGAATCTATCCGGCTTTCACCTTTCTTTTTCTTTTCCTACTTTTTTCTCTTTTCCACTCCATTTTCTACTTGGTTAACTTTTCATTCTAGTCATCTTAGTTTTACGACCAGTTCGAAGAAATGCCGAATGAAACGAGATTTGAGGAACCTGTCAGTATCACAGTTCCAGGACAAATCATACACTTTCCTACAAATTTAACCAGCCCCCAATCACCTGTTGAGACTACCAGAGTAACTGCAGGCAAGTGGGTGGACTTGCTACAATGGAATTTACTAAGGAACTGGAAACGTTCCGCAGGATCTAGAAGAGAGGGTGAGGGAATCATTTAATTTATGTAAACACGTAAAAACATTGGATATGGCAGGCTACTCATTCTTCAAAACACGCGCCAACTTTAAAAATCTGCCGAAGTGTTTGATTTATGGCAGACGCGGCGGTTGATCCCGTTCCTAACCCATTGCCTACAACCGTCCTACTGGCTGATGCTTCAGTTTTCAGCAAGTATGTACACAAAACTGTGTGCACTCTTCTGGAAGAAACTAAAGATGGGTCACTGGTTTTGGAGGCTACTTTGAGTGATCCAAACAATCAAGAACTGATCAAGAAGTTCATATGTGATGCCCAGATTCACTCACTTGTAGTTCAGAAACTTTCCACTAAAGGTAGTATGATTTCCCTAAATTCTAACGTATATAGATGATGATGACGAATCAACGGAGTGTTGTGTTTCGTACACAGTCCTGCTCGAAGTCAAGTTTACGAATCCCAAAGTTCAAAGGTAATAAGTGTTTTTAAATATCATTGCCAGTATCGTGTTCATTAAACGTGGGGGCGTTTTAGAGGCGGACAAAAGTTTTAGCTCTCAGTTGAGATTTATGAACTTCTCTGATGGCTCTCCATATGAGACGTTGCATTCGGCCATTAGTAATGCTATCAGTCCATTTTACAAATCTTATATTCGGGAGTCTGGAAGGGCTGACAGGTAAACAATTTTCATTTCCCATATTGTCCTAGGGACGGTGATAAAATGGCACCAAGTGTAGAAAAAACTATGACGGAGTTAGAGATGGGTCTTCTACATCTCCAGCAGAATATTGACATACCTGAGATAACTTTGTCAGTTCATCCTGTCGTTGCACAAATGATAAAACAACGTGCAGAGGAGGGAAAAAAAGCGAAAACTTCGGATTTTGAAGACAAACTGGAAGACGCTCAGTTTCTTAATGCTTTGCAGTCCGGTGTAAATAGATGGATTAAGGAAATCCAAAAGGTTATTTTCTTTCTAATTACCGTTGTAATTTACAAGGTTACAAAATTAGACCGCGATCCCTCGTCTGGCACTGCTTTGCAGGAAATAACATTCTGGCTAAATCTGGAACGTAGCTTGTTTCGTATACAAGAAAAGAGGGAATCCCTAGAAGTCACACTCACTCTAGACATTTTGAAACATGCCAAACGGTTTCACGCTTAGTCAGTTTCGACACTGACACAGGTAAGTTTTTATGAACCTTCATTCTAACTATTTTAAGGATTACAAAGAGCTCTTGGAACTGTCAATGATTACAACCCCCTTATGAAAGATTTTCCACTCAATGATCTCTTATCAGCTACTGAATTGGATAAAATCCGTCTCGCCGTTCAGTCAATCTTTACTCACTTGCGCAAAATACGTAACACAAAGTATCCTTTACAGAGAGCTTTGCGTTTGATTGAAGCCATTTCCAGAGATCTCACCTCGCAATTGTTAAAAGTACGTTTCATCAGTGTTTATAACGAAATCCTGGTAATTTTGCTGTTCATTATATGGTGCACACAGTGTGACAGTCATTGTAGCTAAGTTCTTGTGTAACTACCATGTTTCGAACTATGCAGTTGCTTGTTCCTAGGTAATTCATGCGTCCTACCTCAAGTTTGTACTAATGAGTAACGGACATGTTTGTATGCCCAGTCCCTGCTCATCTAGCAGATCATCAAACCCATCATGTTTGCATCATTTCTATGACAGATATTCGACTTAACTGCCGACAATCTTAAGGCTTGTCATTTTCGACAGAGTTGAAAAAAGACTACGTTTGTTGCAGGTGTGTCTCAGAATAGTAAATATTTACTGTTCACATTTTTCGAACTGGCATATCTATACTTTCTGTACAGTCTCCCATCTTATGAACATACTACGCTGTTTTTTTCGCGATAATCAACTAACTATGTTTCTAACACCATGATTAATAATTATGATCGAAGAAGACTAATTTATTAGCTCCTATGACAACCACCGGTGACACCATAAATACATGATATTTACGGCACTCATGGACTAGTGATTTTATATAATCCTTAAAAAAATATAGTTAAGATAATACTACTGTTCATGTAGGTTTGCTAGGGATTAGTCGTATTTCTGAACATGAATCTTCAGCCCAGTAAACTTGGATACTGTCGACAGTGGAGATTGTTGAAACAAGGTTCGACTTTGTTTCACTGGCAAACTTGAATTTTCTGTCTCGGAGTGTTAGGATGAGTGGGATTTCTAACACTGCTTGTTAACATGTGTCAATGAGTAGAGTTTGGACTATGCTATACAATGATTCCATCGTTCCTATATATCACTGACATTGTGATATGTTTAAAAAAGAACTGTAATATCCCACTTTTCGGGTGGATAGATTTTCAGTGAAAAGTTCAATAATTATGCATTTACGATTTATTTCAAATTTTATAGATGCTCTGCATAATGACTTTCATGATAGAGAATCCCGAAAAATACAGTTACACAAATTTTGAGAAGTATTGCAAAGATACATTGCCTTACTAAACCTGGAGTGTTTATGTTTTCGTTTCATCTAGGTTTGGGGACACGACGACTTATGCATATGCCTTTTGAAGAATTCGAGCGAGTAATGGTTGCTTGTTTCGAAGTATTTTCAACATGGGATGATGAATATGATCGGTTACAAAGTTTAATGCGAGATATCATCAAAAAGAAACGTGATGAACAGCTGAGAATGATTTGGCGAAGTAATCCGGCACACCGTCGATTACAACTCCGGCTGGATCAAATGAGGAAGTTAGTGACAGTGTTAATTATTCGTAGTTCAAGTAACCTCCTTACTGCATATTTGTACACTAGGTATATAGCTTAACATAAATAGGACATTTCGAATTTATTCCTGATATATATCTAATCGATATGGGCGAAGAATCAAATCGAAACCAAAGTGGTGGTACTTCGTGGCTGATCGGATCACTGCAGGTGAACAAACACAATAAAACAGCGTAGAACCTTGCTCACAAGTACACTGGTTCAGGTCGCCACACTTCATAGTAGCATGCAAACAACAGGTGGATGCAATAACAATGATACCAAAGTAGACAAAGTTGTGTAAGTGAATAAACAATTTGCAGATAAACGTTGGTGTGAATATCCAAACTTTAGAAAACCTCAAAGTGAATACATCTGTACCACCGTGACTGATTTCAGCCGTGTCACCATGAGTCCTCAACCACTGATTCCTTTCGTCTCGAGGACTCCAGTCACATAGTCCACATCTCACAACACAGCTCAGACCAAGATTCAGGCACTTCATGGTCTGACTACCGTGAATCTTCCTCCAACCAGTCCACCTTCTCCTAGAATGGCACATCGAGTTACTCAGTGGATCGGCATGCGTAACACATGTCGAAGTCATCTCATGCGATGAAGGTAAACAACCTCACCAATTGACTCATCTGAATTGACTAGTACTCTTCATTTGACCTCAACATTGCTCACACGGCGATTACACCAAATGTGAGCATTGCTACGAAGACACCTATGGTGAAAACCATGTAATCGCTTCATGTCTTCTACTTCCAACGACCATCTTCCACAGGTGTATAACAGAATAGAGAGTGGGCTGCAGAGTAGTTTACTCGTCCTTTGATAGATAGTCGGATATCTTACCAGTCGGTGCCGCAGATGACTGGAGTTGGCAAATGTCAAACAAGCCTTCTGTATCCAAATTGAGAATTCGTCAGCAACCACCCCTTTCGAGTTGACCCAACTCTCCAAGTAAGTGAGGTAGTCGATACATTCTAACACTTCACTACATAACCACTAAACTGGGAGTACTTGTAGGAGACCAGTTCTGGAGCATCATCTTACATTTAATAGATGCCAGCTAGATGCATGCCAAACAAATTCAGATTTCCACTTGACGCGTACAGAAGACCCTATATTTTGTCAGCCTCTTTACCTAACAGGATATTATCGTCTGCATACTCCAAACTAAATCTGTTGGTAGAGTGGTGTACGAACTCGTGTTCCATTTGTTGAAAGTCAACTACCTAAACGAATAACCACAACTGTACTGTTTAGATAGCCACTTACCTTACAATGAGTATATGGCTTAGAATCGCCCCCACACATACACCTTTTCAGTACTGTTGTTAGCCGTCTCAATGATATGGCTCATATCCTAGTGAATAGACTCGAATCTGATGCCAGATCTCCACATTACATGTTAAAGTTATCGCTGATTGAAAATCGATCACAGTGGTGCAGATCTATTCTCTCTTTGACTTTTAAAGCTTTAACATTTTTACGAAGCGTAAGTTCCACATTCGTTTTCCTCCCTATACCTTTGTCTCTCTTGATATCACGTTTTTTCTGACCACTTGTGTCTTACTGTGAAGTGAACTGATTCACTTGTGTGCAAGGTTCTACGTTGACTTTATCCCTCTACATCTTGCCTTAAACAGCATTGTTAATAATTTACAGATATCGTCATTATAATTTGAGACAATTAAGTATAACCAGTTGAGCCAATACTTGTGTCTGAGTTTCTGCATTGATTCTGTCTTTCTGCTGTAACCAACCGAAAAGCCTACAGAGAACTACAGCATCGGAAAAATATTTCATGGCCTTTGAACGTACCTGTTCGATTTGACATAATTTATCGACACCTTTTTCGAAAGTGGTCATACACGTTTCAGCAGCATAATTAGCTGATTCGCTTTGGTATCATGGCACACGTTCGATTAGGTCAGATAGATCTCTACTGTTCCGGAAGGATTTTTACTTGTGTCATCGTCTAGTGAGACTGGGTTTACACTGTCCACTTCCAGTTGCGCAAATTCTTTCTTGCTTTCTGCGAATTCACAAACACGCTGAGGAAGAGTTCTGTTGGTTGAGTGAAAAGAGTAAGATATAGGAAACTGCATAGAGTGAAATGAGTTTTAAAAACAAAGCACCGCATTTGAAAAAAATTCTCAGTTGTATTCGGAACACTAATGTTCATCGGGATTTAGATTCATTCGATTAGAGAACTCCGATATGATAAAATGCTCACCGTTTGTTCCACCGTTAGTCACCAAAGATAGTATTCACGGAGATATATATTCAGGTAACTTATACATAAACGAAAACATAAAAATAGTTAATCCAGGTAGTTTTATGACTGAGTACGAGCCAAGTTCACACTGTGGTTGGTTTTGTGACACTTCAACTAAAGTCCTCAATCATCCGGTTCAGTTGACTCGAGGAGCACAATCAAGATGCTAACTATTCCCGCAAGACTCGAACCAGTAATTGGAGACTTCATGAATTGCTATTATGTACTGGTTTGGCCATATTACCAACATTCAGTATGTGATAAAACGAACCTTTTTGGAACTCAAATCTGAATACTCTACTGAAGAAGCTGTCTCACGCAGTGAAACGTTTATAAAAGTGTCGTTTTTTCTAAACGCTGGAGAATTAATGAAAACTTGCTTTTATAGCAGAAGGATACGAGTAGAGATTTTATCAAAAATATTTATTCCAATTTTCAGCCTCTTATCGACAACAGGTATGTCCCTCACCTATCCCGTACTATGCATTCTCGTTGATCGTCAGTTAGTGGTCAAAACTGCTTATCACTGACGCTGAACCAAGATGTGCAGTAATCGTAGGGAGTAGAATACGAAGATATCAAAGCTTATAGGGGGAAAGATACAAAACACTGGTAAAATATGTAAGATTTAGGATAAAAAATAGGTCCACCCACACCATCATGGGAAATTCTGAATTATATGACGACTTGATCTTATAGCTCAGTTGGTGGAGCACCGGGTTGGTAACCTAGAGGTCGCTAGTTCGAATCTTGCTGCCCAGTAAGTCTTCATTTCACTTTCACTCATATCACTCTACATAAATAGTTTTCATTCCTCTTTTCTTCTCGTACTTTATATTTCTTTTGACTGCGTTCTCTTATCTTCATCCTCCACCTCACTACCTTTCTACTTGATGTACTGATATGAGCTGTGGCAACTCGGACCGTCGCGCGGTAATGCCTAGTCTTATGTTCATATTGATTGATTGATTGAAATAGTTTTAATTATTGCACAATATTTTTCAAGAAAAGTAGGCAGCTATGTCAAGCATCGCGTTAAATTAGAACAGGACTAAGCATCTATGTACAGCTGCGTGAGTGATAACACCACTTGGCTATCAATACCTCGGTGATTTAACCGAGATATAAAGTCTTGACCCTCCAACCAAGGATGACTATTTAGATTACTCAGTTGAAACCTCATTATTTCAGGTAGCTGATATTGTATTCATATCTAATCAAAGAATTTTCGAAGAACCAGCTTCAATATTCATGCTACACCAGTATTTCTTATACCGTACATTATTTCTCGACTTTAAAAGAAATGAGGAAGCAGCAGTTTCAAAGCTTGGTGTGTTATATTAAAAGGTAGTGTGAGGTTGCACATCACGATTTTCTGGTTGAAGTTGTATTAACTTAAAGTCCAGTTTTCGCGTCAATATCAAATTCAGGCTCGATCCTGAGGGAGTTTTATGCATTTGCAGCAATAAGGCACTCAGACCTCTCTCCATCTGCTTCTATGTGGTTAACTGGGTAGTTTCATAAAGCTTCGCGCAAAAGATGTTGCTGAGCCCATGCTGAAATCCTCACTGGGTTATTGCATTAACATGGATTACGAAAAACCAGGAAATTATATATTCATAGTTGTTTTCATGTTTGCCTTATCGTTGCTACATTTGTCTTTCTGTTCCTGTACCAAATTTAGTTTTGTTATTACGTGTTTTAAATAAACACATCCAAACGCTATAGTGTGGTCGAAGATACGATGAACCCAGTCGTCCTCTACAAAGGCTCTTATAGCTCTGTACGTTCAAAGCACCTACTCAGGGAACTCATTGTCTTCACATGACAAAAGTGTTCATAAGGTGAGAATGCGAATATTCAACGCATCGTCGGACTACTAGATACTAAAGGTTGATTTAGGGAACTCGGTAAACCAAACTTCAAATTAAGAGCTAGGACAGTGCTCCATTAATATACCCATCGTACGCATCATGGAACAACTTTTGCAATAAATAAGTATTTAAAAGCTCTCCATTTTGTCATTGATGGGTTATTAGCATAAGTAACCATATTCAGGGCTAAATGGCCCGAAATACTCAAGACTGTCATCAAACCCATTTTCATCTTACTAAGATTTCTATCCTGTTGATCACCCCACAGTAATTTCTCTAATAAGCTTGAAATGTCTAGGTGACTGTTGCATTTCATACTCAAGTTTAGGGGTGGTTTGCAGCTTGTAGTTATTGACTAGAACGGCTTAAAACCTCTGGAATACATTGATTTCGCTGGACGCATATTGTAGGTTAATAATTGTGGAAATTCAGTAATTAGTGATTTAAAGGTAGAGGGTAATTTTCTTTACTCTTTATGTGAACATTATGCAATTTAACATATCCCACTGCAGATTTATGCACTAAAATATAAACCACAGTAGTGTGTAGTCATGAAAGTACTCGATTGTCCAGGTCAAGGTTAAGGTGACTTCTAACTCGATATCCTTTGCTGGAAAGTCGAATATTAAAACAGTAAAGCACACCGCATGTCAATCATACAAACACATCGTTAAGTGGTGCAAAATGGAACTTTACCACTATTATATAAGTCAAACACGAATAATATCTGTGTGACTTTTCACCCACCTACTGACTTATTTCTCGCTGGAGTTTTATCAACTATTGATATTCTAAAATTTCTAACTCAGTATAATAACCGAGTTTAGGTTGTATGGTTTCAGTGTTGGTTTTTTCTCAGTTCATTTCCGCTTACAATGTACACTTCGTAACTAAAGCACTTTGCTTCATGCACATGTTCCCCTTTATAAACATGAGAGAAGCAAGAACAAATTGAGCAGAATAAGATATACTTTGATATTTTTTTGATTGTTTACTAACAAATTTCATGCTTTTTCATTGCAATCAAAGGTTTCGGCACCAACATGAACAACTGAGACAAGTAATTGTGCGCGTTTTGCGACCTGCACGTAGTGCTCAAGCAGATAAAACGAAAGACACTGCTGGCGAATCGAATGATATATCAGCCATCAATGGTGTAGTTGTAAATGAAAGTGGCAACAAGATCTCTGTAAAGGTTGGTGGTAAAGAGCAACCACTTTTAGTTGCATCTGATGCTAATGCAATCGAAGAAGTTAACCTAGCTTACGAAATAGTGAAAGAGATCGATTGTTTGGATGTTAGCAAGGAAGGCAGTGATGTTTGGGAAGCAGCAGTCAAGCGGTAAGTTAAAGTCTGATTTGATTAGCCAACCAGCAGAACTTGACTTTGTACAATGCTCACGCTGGTTTCTTCCCTTTTTCAGCTATGATGAACGCATCGATCGTGTGGAAACTCGAATAGCTGCACGTCTTCGGGATCTTCTAGGGACAGCAAAAAATGCAAATGAAATGTTTCGATATTTTTCGCGTTTTAATGCTTTATTTGTGCGTCCCCACATAAGAGGTGCCATACGAGAATATCAAACACAACTTATACAACGAGTCAAAGATGATATTGAAGCTTTACATGCGAAATTCAGAGTACAGTACACATCTAGCAAAGCTTATCATATGACAAAACTACGTGATCTACCTCCAGTTGCTGGGTCCATTATTTGGGCCCGTCAAATCGAGCGGCAACTTAATGCCTACCTACGACGAGTTGAGGATGTTTTAGGTATGTTCTAAAGTGTTAATTCACAAAAGGGTAAACCATATTGTTTCTTCTCATTTGATTTTCTTAACCAATATTTTATTTCGTAGTAAAAATTGTAACTCACCAAACATATGTAGTTTCAGAAACTAAACAGTAAGATACATCTAGTCTGAGGGCTTTTGATGATAATTGACTACCCGCCTCAGTAAGTCAAGGAGTGTGCGAACCCATAACTCTACAGTTGTAAGTTTGATACCCATACCATCCACAACTCCACTTATTTCTTAGTAATTGCATTTGATTTTTTTAATTATGCTTATGCCAAGTCCTAAATGTATGTTGGATTGTTTCTGTTTTAGGCAAAGGCTGGGAACAACACCGTGAAGGGCAGGTTCTTAAAGCTGATGGAGACAGTTTTAAAGCCAAACTAAACACCAACGAACTTTTTGAGGATTGGTCTAGAAAAGTGCAACAGAAACAAACCTCAGTTTCTGGTCGTATTTTCAATATTGAACCTATTCGAGCCAAAGTTGCCACAAAGGAGGGGAGACGCAAACCATAACCGTCCTAAAGCTTAAGGTTAACTTTCAATTAGAAGTTATAACTCTTGCTAAGGAGGTTAGTTTTATTGATCCGATTGTTTTCCTATGATAATTCCAGCAGTTTGAGTAATCGCGGGCTTATAATACTGATTAGTAATAGTGATACTCATTGTGAGAAATTGTGTTAAGATATGTGGGACTTATATCTAATACACCATATTGTATTGGACGATTTTAGATGATCCCATCTGGTTTTTCGCTTCTGCTTACCATTCACTTGAAACCTGAGTGATTTGTAAATCTGATTATCCCATGTTGTTCGTTTGCCTTCTCTAACCAGTTAGAAATTATTAATTTTACTTAGAGGAGTCAGTTTGACGCTGATGTAATACCATTTTGAGGGTTCGAAAATGAACGATGTTAGTGCTGTCTGTATTGAAAAGTTATACAATACATTCAGAATGACTGGTTAATTTACTCTTCAGCTCAAAGACAAAATTGTTAACAAGGTCACCAGTCGGCACTTCAGAACTATATCTATGGTTTATTAAATTCTACACGTTGAATGTCGGTCATCTTGTCACTGGTGATGCAGCGATAAACATAGTATTGCAAAACTTATCTATTCTTTTGTTGTGTGTAGCCGGGTGAAGTGATCACTTTCAAATTTAACAGTTAAGCATAAAAACGTCAAGAATAGTGTCATGTAGTTCGACAACATAATCTCATTTTTTTGCTAGCGGTAATGTTAACACTACCAGAGACAAAGGTACCTTTAGTCAAGCTTTCAGGTGCCACACGTTTCATTAGAAATGTTGGACGTCACGACTACAGAATAAAACTAAATGCATTCAGTTGTCTTACAGTGTTATTATATATCGTAAGTTCTATGTTGTGGTTACTATGTAGATAGCTTATTGATTAGTCTTCAGCACCAATGATGGTATATGTACTCTTACGTTGGAGCTCTGTGGCTCATTGGTCTAGGGAGATGACTTTCAACCGGTGTTTGATCCTCGTTCCACCTACCGAGGTTGGCGCAGCCATGTAGTATCATTAACCCTCACACTGAAGGTCTGGCTCATTGTCTGCTGTACGAATGTGCACGATCCCGCTAAGTGCATTTCGATTTAAATCGAATCTTACAGTGCCTCTCAGAGTTAACTTACGATAGTTATAATTTCTTTATCTCAAGATTTACATGCTGCACGATATAACCTCAAATTCTGACAATTATGTAATACAAGTCTGAGATGAAGACAAATCTGGAATAATTAGTAACTCATTTTTACATTGGATTCTTCTGCTTTGTAGGTGCGTAATATGAAGTGGCTTGGTTTCCGTGTGCCTCTTGGGATAGTTAACAGGGCTCATCAAACCAATCAACTATATCCTTATGCTATATCTCTTATCGAAAGTGTACGAACCTATGAAACCGCCTGTGGTAAAATAGAAGAAAACCAACGACAGAATATTGGTCTTTTATGCGCTGGATTGCGACGTGAAGTTCAGCTTCTTATCGCTGAAGGCATATCTCTAGTTTGGGAGTCCTACCGCCTTGGTTTATTTGTACAACGTCTTGCAGAAACAGTTCTACAATTTCAAGAAAAAGTTGATGACCTTCTGGTCACTACTCGAGAAATCGATCAAGAAGTTAAAGCACTAGAAACTTGTAATTTTTCAAAGTCAGTTTTCGAAGAAATTCTAGGTAATTTGTTGTTAAATATTTTCTATTAAAACTTGTTAATTGAATTGTATCTATGAAATGGTATAAATGCGTGTAATACCTTGCATAATTGTACTAATCAATATTAATTTGTGTAATAAACAGCAATTTTTATCATGTATCCAGTTATTACAGCAGTTTTGTCAAGGTTTTCATCCCAGGTCTTTAGCTGATTTTTATTGAGTCCATATAATTTCTTTACAATTGGTAACACTAGAATTTATAGTTGCTGAGGTAGATATGCTGAAAGTTAACGTTGGTTTACATTAATCAGTGAATGCATCAATTTAGAGATTTCATATGAGTTGTAACTCTTACAAATCCACTATGTGTTAACAATCTCGTTATTTTAAAAGATTCTACTTAAATAAATGTTATTGTATGAATAGGTAAAATTCAGAAGTCAGTGGATGAGTTGAATCTCCATCAATATTCGAATTTGCCTCAATGGGTAGCTCGTTTAGATGAAGAAGTTGAACATCGCCTGGTTACTCGTCTTGAAGCTGGTATTTGTGAATGGACACGTGTTTTACTGGGCAACGAAAATCCGTCTGATGTAAGTCTACCTTATGTTTTACTTTTATCCAATAATAATTGAACTGTTTGAATTATACCACCATGTCTAGATAATTACTGAGTTAACCCACTTAACCCAGTTTCCAATATCTGGTTGCCTTATCATGTCATGCATTCAGTAATGGGTTCAAGTGTTTTTCGTGTTGAGAAAACATGACCTTAATATGACTTCTAAATTTGTTCTGCTTCGTAGATAAGTTTTTTGAAAGGTGTTTGACAAAGATTCGATTTACGTGTACCGGCTTGTGTTTGCACTTTGTTATCACTTGTCAAGCATCGCGTTTAGTGGTGACCGTCTCTTTAAAGGCTATACCGCTGACTGGCCAACCAGCCAGCCAGCCTATACCTTTATCTCTCCACTTCTTTATGAATGAAATAAAACAGCTCTGAGTATCTTTTTAATTCTTGTAATCAATTGACGACCGGAATCATATATATATATATATATATATATATATATATATATATATATATATCCTACGAAATAGCAACTGCACAATAATTTACCGAATTGAAATACGCTATTTTGTCAAGAGGAAAAGAGATAAAGTACTTTTCCACTGACAATCAATTGTTCTAGAACGATAAACTAATCACTGGTAAGTATACGAAAGAGGGGGAGGTCAGATACACTTATCTAAACATGTGTGTAGCAACGCTGTGAAACAAAACCGTATTTACGTTTCACATATCTCATTGGGTTTATATGACAAGCTTCTGAGTTGAGTCTCACTATATATCTTACAATTTAAATGGGGTAGCACATCAGTGGTTCATTGCTAAATAAACACTACTCGGTGTATTAGCAGATGTCTGTCAGATGTATAATTTTATGACGATATTTTTGTATTTATTTTTTAGGCAGGTGATTCAGATGATACACATTCAACATCACAATTGAAACATCGATTGGGTGGTGAGCCAAAAATTAAGCCATTAGTTCATGAACTTCGAATAACTAATCAACAAATTCATCTACATCCCAGTATCGAGGTCGCTCGACACGAGCTCATAGTTAATCTCAGTTCTTGGGAAAGCATGGTTCTCAGCCTACCTCGAATTCAACATTCACGTTACCAGGTAAGACATGCTTCATGTATACTACACCTTTTCTTATATTCCTTTATTACCTTACCTTACTATTTCTTATGACAGCTTATTGTCAGTCAATGTGTGTGAATCTTTAAGTGGTACAAATATAACAAGACATTCTGGCGTCACTTACCTTTCCGAATTAGAGGATTCATTATGCGTGAGTGCATATAGGTGCAAGGAAGAAAATAATCTGTTAGTTTATCTGATTTTTTGACGTAGGAGAACCGAAATCGGAATAAACTGATTTTATTCAGAAAAAGGCTTTGGTGTAGTCGCAAAACCCCATGAATCTAATTTCCTACGTCATTCATCTTTCAAAAATACATAATGTTTTAGAATTAAGATAGACAAAGTCAACGTAGAACCTTGCACAGAAGTGGATCTATTCAGCATGCCACATTTCTCAGTAGCACCCCAACTAAAAGTGGGTCGGGAAAGACTGATATAAACGTACTACCGGACAAAATCTTAGATATGTCTGATTTCACAACGATTGATACATTCGCTGGAGATCATTCGGTTGACTTGGAGTATGGACACGATATTATCCTGTTAGGTAAAGAGGCTGACAAAATACAGGGTCTTCTGTACGCGTCAAGCGGAAATCTGAATTTGTTTGGCATGCATCTAGCCGGCACCTATCAAATGTAAGATGATGCTCCAGAACTGGTCTCCTACAAGTACTCCCAGTTTAGTGGTTATGTAGTGAAGTGTTAGAATGTATCGACTACCTCACTTACTTGGAGAGTTGGGTCAACTCGAAAGGGGTGGTTGCTGACGAATTCTCAATTTGGATACAGAAGGCTTGTTTGACATTTGCCAACTCCAGTCATCTGCGGCACCGACTGGTAAGATATCCGACTATCTATCAAAGGACGAGTAAACTACTCTGCAGCCCACTCTCTATTCTGTTATACACCTGTGGAAGATGGTCGTTGGAAGTAGAAGACATGAAGCGATTACATGGTTTTCACCATAGGTGTCTTCGTAGCAATGCTCACATTTGGTGTAATCGCCGTGTGAGCAATGTTGAGGTCAAATGAAGAGTACTAGTCAATTCAGATGAGTCAATTGGTGAGGTTGTTTACCTTCATCGCATGAGATGACTTCGACATGTGTTACGCATGCCGATCCACTGAGTAACTCGATGTGCCATCCAAGGAGAAGGTGGACTGGGTTGGAGGAAGGTTCACGGTAGTCAGACCATGAAGTGCCTGAATCTTGGTCTGAGCTGTGTTGTGAGATGTGGACTATGTGACTGGAGTCCTCGAGACGAAAGGAATCAGTGGTTGAGGACTCATGGTGACATGGCTGAAACTCGGTCCCCGTTTCGGGGACGTTAATTAGGTTGTCTTTATCTCCTTGCACGATTAAGACCGAGGGCAAACGACTTCATGGATCGGTTTAACTAAATAGTCTGACCATCCTGATGCCTATTTCAACTTCTCCTTGTATTGGATGTGGTGGTAGTCGGTGGGTGGTACGACTTGTGGAACACATGTATAAAGCCACCTCAGTCGCTGAAGGTTAACAACCTCATCGAGCGAGGATGTTATAGTTCAGGAAAATATCACATTTAAGCATCCAAAAGCACAAAGTAATTTAGTGAAGTGAAATTTCTTTACGAAAGTGAATGATCGAAAGGAAACTTTTCTTCGCTGAATCATATGGTTTTATTGAATGCTGGAGCTGTCAGTAAACCAGTTTTTTCTTAGGTAACAGACTGTACGTCAGGAGGTACACAGAAAATGTTGGAGATGGGTGCAGAATAGATTGAATTAGTGTTGTTAGTTACAATCTCTGTGGATATGAGCTACCATCATACGCATAAGAATAAAGCTATGAATGGATAATAGCAAGTGTCAGTAGACTATAATTCCTTCAAAAACTCAGCAACCAATTGAAACTTCTTTTACTGCACTATTTTTGTTGAGAGTGTGACGATATCTGGATATCTAAATATCGGTTGCTGAAAAATCATTCGAAACTGTAATCTACTGGTAGCAAACCGAGTCCCTAAACCACTGAAATTAACGAGTACTCAAAGAGAAATCCAACTGTGTAATGCACTGAAATGTTTTTATACGAGCCGAAGAATGAGGGTTAACTTGGATCTTTAAAACCCTTTATCTTCCATCCACGATAATTTTCTGTAGTGGTTATTGTAACTAATATTACTGTTTTGTGAACTGGTTAATATATAAAGCCTCAGAGGGCTAGTAAAAAATTATTATTCAAAATGAATGTTTCCGGTAGTCAATGAATACAAATAAAAGGATTTCTACCTAACATGTTTGTGCTGACAGGGAGCTGAGGTTCATTATGGAGCTGTAGCTCATTAATCAAGGCATTTGGCTTCGACCAGTGGGTCACAAGTTCGAACTGTGCTCCGCAGACCAATGTCTGGTCAACCAGGTGGGATCATAATCCTTCACACAACAGGTGTGGTCGAAAGTCAAGTGTATAGACGCATGTGCCATGTTGAGTTCCCTCTTTTTCTTAGCATAGGTGCCTCATGACTCCCTGGATTGGGTCCAAGAGATAAAACAACTCTGTGATCTGAGATGACAGCGGACGTAACTCATAATCGAAACTAGTGACGACCATGCTGTTGCTTCCCTGTTTTTTTTTTATTACTGGAAAGGAAAAGGAATGTAGTGAATGCATCTTTAGATCGACCTTTGAGACTTCTTTGGCAACCTGTTTGTTTTTTGTTTCCGTTCTCTTCTTTTTTCGCATCGTATTTTTATCCTAATGTCATTGTATCATTGTATATAACGTATCTCTTGGTGCCAGTGTTGTAAAAAATTTGTGTTTTAAGTAACTTAAAAATGACAAGATTTATTTCCGTATTGCTACCTTATTCATTTTAGGTCGGTATCGAGTCAGATACCGATACACAGAAGAATTATAAGAAACTTATATATAAACTGGAAAATGCTGGTGAATCTTTAGCCAAAGCTCATAAAGCAATCGTTCAGGTGACAGGTGAAGCAAAAGAATATGTTAAAACATGGACAAGTTATCAAGCGCTTTGGGATCTCCAAAGCGATCAAGTGTATGGTCGTCTTGGTTCTGATACTCAGGTGAGTTACCTACTGTCATTATGTCGAGTTATTTAATTTCATTGATTTTCGTCAAAAATTGCCTACAGTTTTTTGTATTACATATTGCATATTAGTCAATGAATTTAAGAGAATTTTCAGTTTTCATTAATATTACTCGCATGCCATAAGAAAGTTGGTTACAAAATGGTAATTGTCAGTCTTACTGTTTTTTGAATTCTATCAATTAAACAATGCGATGACCTCCAAGTTAGTTCACTTGACTTTTGCTGTATTTACTACTTCTATATATATAACGGTCTGTTGTCGGGAATAGAGAACTAGCTGAGAAGGACTTTAGAATACAGAATTAAAGGTATGATTTTCATAATCCAGAGGATATATATATCTGGATTTTACGTAAATTGCTTATCATATACGCCATTCTGTGGTAAGTCTTGATAAATAGAGGAAAGCTGGACGTCCGTTCCACTTCTTTCGGCTTTTCTTGTTGATACTTTTCATGTTAATTGCTTTCAAAATCCAATTCATTATTGATGATAGTATTCAAACATTGTCCAGTTAAAATAATAAAACTGGTACTAAATGATATAAGTAAGCATGTGAATTTTACTGAGTATTTAGTTGCCATTGTGGGTCAGTGTCACTCGAAGAAAACCATCAACAGTTGCAAAGATGATGATTGAAGTCACCCTGTCACTTCATGACATGGTGTATCGATGACATTATCCCGTAAGCCACGGTGACTTTTGTCAAACGGTTTTACTTTAGTATTATTGCTTGTATTATACCGTCGTTGATTGGACCGAATTGACTGGTCTCTATTGGTATATGGGCTCCTATGTGGATGCTTCCATATTACCTGTATTTTAATTATAGTAATGGTGGGTAGTGGCTAGCAGTGGAATCCAGGATGCACATTTCGTCCTATTTGGGACTCGTCAGCTAGATCTACCTGCCTCCCAGTGAGTGATGTTGTTCCCACCGGGATATTCGGACTGAGGAGCGATCGCTTCAAACGCAAGAGCGTTATCCACTAGATCACCAAGCTACGATAGCCACTTCTTGTGCGACGGGTATAGTTTTAGTGTTATTGCTTTACTTTAGACTGTAATATACATAATCTAGTGTTATGTTTTTTCTCCAACCGTATAACATGTGATTGTTATGTCATTGGAACCCGACCCAACTCTTATACTGCTTGTATTGTATATGTATATGTTTGTATATGTATGTATGTATGTATGTATGTATGTATGTATGTATGTATGTATGTATGTATGTATGTATGTATGTATGTATGTATGTATGTATGTATGTATGTATGTATGTATGTATGTATGTATGTATGTATGTATGTATGTATGTATGTATGTATGTATGTATGTATGTATGTATGTATGTATGTATGTATGTATGTATGTATGTATGTATGTATGTATGTATGTATGTATGTATGTAGTATGTATGTATGTATGTATGTATGTAGTATGTATGTATGTATGTATGTATGTATGTATGTATGTAGTATGTATGTATGTATGTATGTATGTATGTATGTATGTATGTATGTATGTATGTATGTATGTATGTATGTATGTATGTATGTATGTATGTATGTATGTATGTATGTATGTATGTATGTATGTATGTATGTATGTATGTATGTATGTATGTATGTATGTATGTATGTATGTATGTATGTATGTATGTATGTATGTATGTATGTATGTATGTATGTATGTATGTATGTATGTATGTATGTATGTATGTATGTATGTATGTATGTATGTATGTATGTATGTATGTATGTATGTATGTATGTATGTATGTATGTATGTATGTATGTATGTATGTATGTATGTATGTATGTATGTATGTATGTATGTATGTATGTATGTATGTATGTATGTATGTATGTATGTATGTATGTATGTATGTATGTATGTATGTATGTATGTATGTATGTATGTATGTATGTATGTATGTATGTATGTATGTATGTATGTATGTATGTATGTATGTATGTATGTATGTATGTATGTATGTATGTATGTATGTATGTATGTATGTATGTATGTATGTATGTATGTATGTATGTATGTATGTATGTATGTATGTATGTATGTATGTATGTATGTATGTATGTATGTATGTATGTATGTATGTGTTCTTTTGCGGTATATATAAACAGCTGATGAGTAAGTACTACTGAAATTACCGAATTCATTCAATCCTAGTTTTTTCACATTCGTTACTAGTTTTAAATGTAGGTATCAGAAAACAAATATTTTCAAAATATTAAGATCTTTGTAGATGTTTTTCAGAAAAAAAGCAAATACTTTTCTATTTATTAATTTTGTAGATTTGGATGAATCTTTTGGATGAAATTAAAAGTATGCGTCAACATTTTGATGTAGCAGAAACTCAAAAAAGCTTTGGTCCAATCATCATTATGTTCGGTAAAGTTCAATCTAAAGTTTCACTGAAATACGATAATTGGCATAAAGATATTTTGAGCAAGTTTGGAAGTCATTTAGGTTCAGAAATGCAAGACTTGTTCTCGCAAGTATCGAAGGTTAGCTTTGCCTATTTTTTACTAAAAGAAAAAAATGTACATAAATTCATTTTACGAATTTTATTTGTAAGGTTGAGAGATATGCACACTTTAATCGTTTGTTTATTTTTTAGGCTCGTGTTGATCTTGAACAACAAGCCATAGAAGCTGGTAGTACCGGTGAAGCTGTCAATGCTATTACCTACACACAAGCTGTTAAAAGAAAAATGAAAGTGTGGGAAAAGCAAGTTGAACTGTATCGTTCTGGTCAGAACATCTTGTATCGTGATCGTTTTCAGTTTCCATCTAATTGGTTGGATTCAGAAAATATTCTTGGGGAATGGAGTGCATTCCAAGAAATTTTACGACGGAAAGAAACTAGTATTGGCTCTCAAGTGAGTTATTTTCAGCAGACCTTATTTAAATATTGTATTTTGAATGAGATGTATGCCACTTATTGTACGACTTATCTATATTTTAGGTAGCAAGTCTTCAAATGAAAGTTGTTGCCGAGGATAAGGTTGTTGAAAGCAAAACCTGTGAACTATTGTCATCTTGGGATAAAGAAAAACCTATTGCCGGTAATCTAAAACCGGAAGAAGCTGTCAACCAGTTAACTATATTAGAAGGGAAGTTTAATCGTCTACGTGAAGAGCGTGATAATATTCAACGTGCTAAAGAAGCCTTAGAGTTGACTGAATCTGGAGTAATATCACCCACAGAACAACGTGTACAAGTGGCCTTTGAAGAACTTCAGGTTAGTTTTACAATTTTTTCCTCTGTGTTATCATTAAACACCTTGAATATTTTTCGGTAGCATGTAACTAGGACAGTTTTTCAAATAATAAACAGACCATCACTAAAGCCTTAGTGCAAGTATAATAATGGAATGTTTGTGCTGCAGCCGAGGAGTGTTGGTCACTTATGTACCCCTTGTATTTCATTTACGCTTGTAGAATTTGTTGATAGTAAAGTTTCTTGGAGTTATTATATAGTTGCTTATGAACTCAAGTATTAGTTATTTTTAAAGACTATGCATGCTTACACTTACTATTCTTTCATGTTTTCAGTAGGAGCCGTTTCATAATGGAAAGTGAAATCCTCACTGAGTTACCTCTTGTCTTGATTCTTAGTGCGTTTAGAATGGCCAAAAGGATACTATCCTGTGATCAGTTTGTGCATAAGACCCATGCGCTTACACGGACTCAGTTATGACCTAGATAGCGTATTCGTAAAGTTTATGAATTCAGTACTGAGTATTGATGCAGGTTTGACTTAGTTACAAAACATGGGTGTCCGCAAAGTTAACAGCTATACTGATAAGTGGTGATAACAATGGGACGTAGCTAAATCATAGCTTTCGTCAGATTTCCTACGATTCACTTCATCTTATTCTTGATATGTTGGTATGAAGCCTGTCAAATTGAACTGATGCACCTCTCAAATTCTACGTTGACTTGTCTCTGTCTGTCATAGCTTCCTGTTGGCTGATTCATGACATCTAACACAATAATATAAATAATCTTACTACAAACGCTTTCTATCAGCGGTAGGTTCAGGCTTTGGACACTGGGGCAGTCAGAGTAGTAATGAAATTGTGTCTCCAACTGTTGGACGTATGTGAAACATGGTCGTTGAAAGTAGGTGTGAAGAGATAACAGGTTTTCGAATGTATCTGTCTTCCTATCATTGTTCACTGATGGTAGAGTCACCATGTGAGTAATATCAAGGTTAGGTAAAGGGTACCAGGCAAGATAATCAAGTCAATCGGTGAGGTTGTGAATTTTCGTCGACTAAAGTGGCTTAAACATGTGTTGTGCATGCCGACCCAGCACCACCTGCCTTGATGTCCCATGCTAGGGGGAGTTGGATTACGTTAGAAGAGTGTTCAGGGTGACCAGACCAAGACGTTGCATCAATCGATGAAGTTCCTGACTGTTAGTCTGAGCTATGTAGGCAGCTGTAGACTACGTGGCTGGGGGCCTTCAAGACGACAGGAGTACATGGTTAGAATTCCTTGGTGAAATGGCTGAAGTTGGTCACGACGGCCAGATCTACTCACTCTTTGGCGTTTTCTAAACTTGAATATCCGTACTTACCTTTATCTTCAAATCTTTTTTCTATGAATCTGTTTTTATATACTACTGTAAAGTGTTGCAACTTGAACCGATACACTTGTGTGTGAGGTTTTTTGTTGATTTTGTGCGGTCTGTCTGTATATATCTACATTGTCTATATGCATTATCTTTTCCATCCAGCTAAATTTGGTGTAGTTTTTTCTATTGCGCATAACAAATTTTACTTGGAATTAATGCTAGTTTGTTGACTTTTGTAGGATCTCAAAAATGTTTGGCTTGAATTGTCTCGTATATGGGAACAAATTGAGATAATGAAGGAAACTCCTTGGCAAACTGTACAACCGCGCAATATCAGGCAGCAGTTAGATGCATTGGCAGGACAATTAAAGGAACTTCCAGCCAGACTGAGACAGTATTCATCGTATGAACACGTCAAACGGACTCTTCAAAATTATGCAAAGTTCAATTTTATGATAGTGGAATTGAAATCTGAAGCACTGAAAGATCGTCACTGGAAATCTTTGATGAAAAAACTCAACGTTAATTGGACTATGTCTGAATTAACACTCGGTCATATGTGGGAATTAGATCTTCAGCAAAATGAAGCAGTTATCAAAGAAGTTTTACTTGTTGCCCAGGGTGAAAAAGCTTTAGAAGAATTCTTGAAACAAGTAATGTGATTTTTCACATTTTTAATAATGTAATTATTTTCTTATTAGGTAACAGAAGTATGGAAAAACTATACTCTTGAGCTTGTAGCTTATCAAATAAATGTCGACTAATTCGGGGTTGGGATGATTTGTTTAATCGTGTGAAGGAACATATAAATAGTCTGAGTGCCATGAAGTTATCACCCTACTTTAAAGTAAGTTCAATGTGTTATGCATCTATTTTGAGAGTAACAGTGAATTGACAACATAAAATATAGACGCTTTCGTCGGCGATGTATGTTAGAATTCGTATCTGATACTTTAACTTAAGACCTCTACATATTCCTCATGTGACATATTATTATTATTGTCAACATTCAAATCAATTTCTTGATCATTTTCAGTATTAAGAAATTTATTTTATCTTCATATTCAGCAATTTGAAGAAGAAGCATTGGCTTGGGAAGATCGTTTGAACAGGATTAATGCTCTATTTGATGTTTGGATAGATGTACAACGTCGTTGGGTATACTTGGATGGTATTTTCGCAGGATCTGCTGACATAACAGTTTTACTACCGCAAGAATCACAGAGATTTCAACACATGAGCTTAGAATTTTTAGGATTAATGAAAAAAGTTTCAAAGTCACCTCTTGTTATGGATGTACTAAACACTTCAAATGTTCAACGACAGCTGGAACGTTTCGCAGACTTTCTCTCAAAGATGCAACGTTCACTTGGTGAATATCTCGAACGTCAACGGTCTTCTTTTCCACGGTATAGTCTCTCACTATTTTTCACTTTATTAATAACGAAACATTAATCACATGGATACTGTCATTTAATCGATAAACTTGGTTTTTCAGCTTATCTTTGTAATTATTTGTTTTGCTTCGAATCGAATCGAAATGCAGTCAACAACCTTGTGGACATTTGTACAATAGGCAATAAGCCACATCTCTTGTTTGAGGGCTAATGATACTACTACTTAGCTGTTCAAACCTTGATAGATGGAGCGGGGCTCGAACTCGTGACTCATTGGTCAAAAGTCTACTTCCTAAGCCAGTGAACCACAGTACCTTGTTTTGCACGCATATCTTTTAATCAGCTAACTGTCATTTTGTTGGTTCTTCAACCTTAGCTTACATATGTACGAAGGGTCGTCCCGTGTTCTAAACTGATGTCAGAATCATTTAGAAATTCGTCGAGTCATTTTTACTCTTTTTTGTATAATAAGGTGTTTTCACTTATTTATTCTGAAAAATCTCACTATGTCTCTTAAAATCTACTGCAGAGATTATTTTTCTAAACGTTTTATGTGTAAATTCTAATCAGAAACTAGAACTCAAAAGCTTGAATATTTCTGCGGATCAGAGGAATATATTTTCAATTGCTCCGGAGACACCTGAAATATTAACTAAAACTTCCACTATGATTGTTGATCTAACCATTTTTCTTAAGGTGTTTGTAACAGAATTCTATGCGTTACTGTCGTATTCGAAACCTTTCTTAGACTCTTAGACGAAAGTTATCCTTCCCGCCCTTCCCTCTTCCTGTGTTCTACATTCTCTATCGAAACATATTGTAGACTGACTTTTAAGACTTACGTTTTGTTAATAAATATTTACAATTACTATTTATTGATATGCTTGTAGTTCTCCATTGTTTTACTGGATCGAATTGCTCTACCTCTATTGGCATATGGGCTCCTATGTGGATGCCTCGATATTGCCTGAATATGAATTATGATGTGCTCGGTTGCGCTTAGCAGAAGAATCCAGGACACGCGTTTCATCTATCTGGGACTCGTCAGCTGGATGTACCCGCACCCCAGTGGATGATTTTGTTCCCACTGGGATTTGGACCTCGTACCCACCGCTTCAAACGCCAAGGCGTTATCCACTAGGCCACAAAGGCACGATAGCTTACGATGTACACGTTGGGTACATATGTATAACGTTTCTTGTTTTGTTTTTTATTAACTTCAGTTCCTAGGCTTACTCTTAGTAGTGACCAAAAAACTTGAAAGAAACATTGTCAATAATAAGTGCGCCTCTTGTATGGTTTTCTTGTTAACCGTTTATGTAGACTATTTCAGTTTGTTATCCGTTTTGTATCCTGGTGCCGTATGATTGACATTGTTGAAGGCCTAATACTCATCCACTTTTCATTCCAAGAACCTAAATTCCATATTGTTGAAAGATGAAAAAGTCGTGAATAATTAATTATTTATCCCTCCTCGATAATTATTGAAGGTGAACTGAAATCTTAAGTTGCAACAGATTTTAAACCAACAGCCTCTAGGTTGTTGATTTAGCACCTCTACTAACTGAGCTATGAGATCCAGCTGGTGACCACTAGCTTTTAACTACACTTCAATACCTAAGGGTTTTGTTTGACTGTCATATGAATCTAGAATATATAACTTTCCGTTCATCTGAGTCTCACTGGCTACCCAGATAGGTCTTATCATGTGATCAAAATTGAACAGAATTTGTAAGGAGTAGCTTTAAATTACTGATTATTAATCGTGGTTTGGTAGAATTATTTTGTATGATAATTGAAGGCAAAATGAAAACACTTAATCATCATTCAGCAGTGTCAATAACACCAATCTTCCAAACTGCAGCTACCTCAAGTAGTCTGACTAGTTTTTACTTATCTTTTATAAAGTTGTTATTCAATACTTTATTCACCGTAGTTCCTGGGTTATTTGGGAGGCGTTTCAATATGTTGCTACTTGTATTTCAACGTGTTAATAACCAAATAAAGGAATAATATGAGCAAATAATGTTTTCAGCACTCAATCATGGTTTATTGTTTATCAGTATTTTTCTGCAATTCCTGGAGTTTGTATTCCATGTTAGTTCTAGCACCCATGAACGAAGCAACTTGTTGAAATCAGCCAATATACAGAATTGTTGGTGTTAGTTAGTTGGAGGCAATCGGCAGGAAGCCCTGGACCTAGGTTTTTTGCTTGTTGGCACTTGTCAACAAGGCGTATCTGCAACCTAGACGGAACTGATGTCCCGCCTGAGATTCGAACCCGCGTCACCCAGTGTTGTAGTCAGCGACTTTACCACTGAGCTATTCGGGCCGCAAGTCACCTGTAGGACTGGGTTACGTGCATTGATTGGTCACGGGAGTGCAACCAATTTCATATTGTCTAGTCCTGAGTGCAGACTGAATCCTATCGATCATATTTGCAGCAACAACAAGCACGAAACCTAGATCCAGGACTTCCTATCGATTGCTTCCAACTAACTTACATCTATTAATGTGCACCACGATGCTGAGTCTCCTGGCTTGGTGGCCACATTGGAAATATGATCGATAGGATTCAGTCTGGACTCAGGACTAGGCAACATGAAATTGGTTGCACTCCCGTGACTAATCAATACATACACAATTGCTTCACGGAAGTTCTTATCTATTCTCGACTGAAGTCCTCACATATGATTGGACAGCTAAAAGGGGAAATCAAAAGGATTGAAATCCGTTCAGCAGTCTTTTACAAACGTTCGTGGAATAGGCAATGAGCCATAACTATTATGTGAAGGCTAATGAGACTACATAGCTGCCCAAGCCTGGTTAGGTGGAGCGGGGTTCTAACCCATGACCCACTAATTGAAAGTCACTTCCTTTCGGTTTGTGTATTATTTTTATTATACACAGACTATCGTCATACCATTCATACTTAGTATATCAGTTTTGTTATTCATTATTTCTATTCAGCTTTTACTTTGTTGGTGATGAAGATTTGCTAGAGATTATCGGTAACAGTAAAAATGTTCCACGATTACAAAAACATTTCAAGAAAATGTTTGCTGGTGTCAATTCTATCAAGTTAAATGAAGATAATACTGAAGTACTTGGCTTATGCTCCAAAGAAGGTGAAGAATTAACATTTGTAAAACCGATTTCTATTAAAGACAATCCAGTTATTAATGATTGGTTGTCAATGCTGGAGCGTGAAATGCGTTTCTCATTGGCTACGTATCTGGGTCGTGCTATACAAGAATTACAGGTAAGCCTAAGTTCAAAAAAACCGAATTGAATACTCCTATTTATGCATCCTTACTGAACTGAGGATTTTTCTCATTTTTGATCTTTCTTTCTTGAGTACTATCTCCACTGATCGTTTTGTGGCTTATGATGAGCAATTTTGCAAACTGAACTAAGTTGGTACATTATGAGTTTAATAGTGTTTATCTGGCAATCTTTAAGGAAAAAAGATGTATCAGGACTAAATTAGCGTATCATTTACACTAGTACAGCTTTTGTTTATTTTTTCGGAATATCTACAGGGAGGAAAGTTTTGAAAGGAATTGTGATACATTCATTTCCCGGAAACAGAACATTTTGATTCACTTACAAGCATTTTCTCAAATAGGGATTTTCTGTCTCGTTTTTTGGTGTGTGGTACGATAGATCCTTCATTAAGTATGTTTGTAGGAAACGAGAAGACTGAGACGCAGGAAGGAATGTGTAGTATTGACATCTTGTATAGTGGTGATGAAATATTGTACACTTTCCACTGAAACAGTCATCTGCACAATGTACTTCATTTCCTCTTCTGCCTTGATTTGCTCTTAACACGCCCGCATTGTCTCCCGTTTCTCTGGGTAGAATCTCTACCCGTTGCTGGTAATTGCATATGATTTCTCCCACGCTCCCAACATATACTACTTATATCCACTCTGGTCAGAAGCGCCCACTACATATCTCCTCACATTCACTTTACTTATCTCTTTGGACTTCTAGTTGTTCATTATTATTATTATTAGTCCCTTGGGTTCCTAGTGGAACATAGGGCTTCAGTAGCACGCCTCCAGTGACCTCTGTTCTCTGAGATCTTTTGAACCTGGTTCCACGACAGCCCAGAAGCTCTCATTTCCTCCTCGCACGACCTCCTCCATGTCACCCTTGGACGTCCAACTCGTCGCTTCCCATGGGGATTCCACTCGAGCGACTGGCCTGACACGTGATGTCCCCAGTCGGCCTTCTCAGTGTGTGCCCAATCCATCTCCACTTCCTCCTGCATATTTGTTGCGTGATAGGTTCTTGCTTCGTTGGTTCGTTCCCAGAGCTCCTTGTTGCTTATTCTTATTATTCTGGCCATCTGATCTTCAGTAGCGAGCGTAAGCAGTTGTTGAGAATGTCTGTAGTTTATTGGAAATCCGTTTCGTGACGCGCCAAGTCTCTGAACCATACAGGAGCACTGACTTGACTGAATTGGTGTTGAAAATCCAGATCTTGTTCCGCATGCTGAGTGGAGTGCAGAAGATTTCCACACTGGTTTCAGGCTAATGAACACCTGTCTTGCTGTCTTTCCAATCCTGGCTGCTTTGACATCCTCGTGTGTGCCTGTGCCGCCTGTAGTTGAAACAGTGCTTCCTAGATAGGTGAAGGAGGTTACTTCCTTTAGATTTCTCCCGTTGACGGTGATTGGAGTTTGTTGTTGTTGTTGATGGTGGTGGTGTGGTATCTTCATCACCTCTGTCTTCTCTATATTCACTTGAAGTCCCGTCTTTGCTGCCCTGCCTGTTCTGTCACTTGTTAGTTTTCGCCTGTAGGTCTTCAAGTTTATGTGACATCAGGCACAAGTCATCGGCGAAATCCAGATCTTCTAGGTTCTTTTCCGCAGTCCAGCCAGCATATCCTCCTCTTCTCGCTCCCCACTGTTGTCTGCTGCATGATCCAGTCCACTAGACCACAATCAGGAATATCATGGGGGATAGTAGGCGGCAACCTTGTTTCACTCCTGTCTTCACTTCAAAGGCATCACTGAGCTTCCCATTGTGAATTACTTGACATGTGGAGTCTTCGTATAGTTGTTGAATGACGCTGATAAAGGTTTGTGGTATTCCGTAGTATTGAAGCAGTTCTCAAATTACCTCTCGGTCGACTCTGTCAAAGGCCTTCTCAAAGTCGATAAAGTTAAGGTGGAGAGTTGACTGCCATTCTATACTCTGTTCTATGATGATGTATAGAGTGGCGTTGCAATTCGGTCCACACATGATTTGTACTTCCTGAATCCAGCCAGCCAACCTGTTCCGGTCGTAGTTTTGAATCCAGTGCATCCTCTAGTCTCGTCAGGATGATGCGGCCTAATATTTTGCTTGCTCTGGGTGGACAGGAGAGTGATTCCACGCCAGTTCTTGCAAACACTGAGGTCTCCCTTCTTCGGGAGTTTGACAAGGTAACCCTTCTTCCAATCTCCAGGAACATTCTCTTCCTTCCACACCTTCTGCAATAGTAATGTGAGCATGTCTGTTGTTGTCTCTGCGTCTATTCTCAGTGCTTCTGGCGGTATCCCTACTAAAAAACTTCCAATCTAAAATGAATGATCGGTTTATTGTATATTTTCAGGAAATTTAGCTTATTTTATGGAAATCTTCCAAATGTGCCAAAATAATTCAGCATATTCACAGTCAAAGAATCTGATTACCTTAAGATTCCACTCCAAGTGTGGTTAGTGGCATTAATCGTAACACAGTACTAAACTCAGACAACTGTTGTTTGGTGTTGAGTAATTTCAACAACCATCCATATGTAGGTAGTGTTAGATGACAGACAATTGAATACATCTATCCTCTGACTGACCTGAAAACATTTTATATTGGGAAATTAACTAATAATATCTCCAGTTCATCGCTGAGAAACTGTGATTCCTAGGCTGGGAAAGTTTTTTTTTGAATGATTAATCCATCTGTTTATTTCTAACCTTCTATCTAGTTACTTTCTGAACTTTTTAAAGAGATGGATAGTCATTCCATCTTGCTCATGAATTACTTCACACCCTTTGGAACTTGTTTCTTGGTGTTTTATTATTATTTTTCACTTGGGTTCCTACTGGAACATAGGGCTTCAGTAGCACGCTTCCATTGCACTCTGTTCTCTGCAGTCTTTTGGACCGGGCACCACGACTGCCCACAAGCTTGGTATTGATAATCAGGGTTTATTTGAGTTTTTTCTCTGCTTATATCATTATATATTAGTTGTCTAAAAATTCAATAGCTATTTACACACACAAAATAGTAGATTAGTGATGCATAGTATACCTTTTTAAATTACTTCGACAAAACAATAAGAAGACGTAAATTGTCTGAACCGTGTAATGTATTTGCGCAACACATTTCGAACTATCTGATCACACACGTACTTGTCATAGGTATTTATATCAAAACTCATGAAGATAAGGGGTGAGAAAATAAAAAGGGGTCAGCTAGAAGATGAAAGAAGAACACTGACCGATATTTTGTTGGAAAATAACTATCCATCAACATTTATCAGGCAGAACAAAATCAGCAGAGCGTCAAAACTAGGACTGCAGTCAGTCCCAAAGAAGGATGTCTTCATCAGCCTTCCGTACAAAGGTGACTCTCAGAGTGCAATCCTTAAGCAGAGACTCAACGCTGCTGTTAGAAGGACTTATTATGCAGCCAGGGTTCGAGTAATCGAAACCACGAAGCCCTTATATTCCCCCAAACCCCCACAGCATGTGAACGATAATGTCACATCCCATTGTATCTACCAATTCAAATGTACGTGTGGTGACACATACATAGGGAGGACTAATAGATCCATGCAAGTAAAGGCCTCGGAACATATTCCAAAGTGGCTTCAGAAGCAAATCAAATCACCTGAACCTATAAATGTTGGTAGCAAACGTCCAAGCTCTTCGATCGCTAAACATATCGTTGAGACAGGTCACAAGATTGATATGGCTACTTCTTTTACACCTATTTACAAAACATGTTGGGGAGGTATCCTGAAATTTGTTGAAGCCTTAGCTATTAGGAAGTTTAAACCACCTTTATGTATTCATAAACAATTTGTTGTCACATTCAATCTTCCTTGGTAAATTCAACTATTGAAAAACCAAGTTCGATGTACTATTATTTTTTCGCCCTATTGATTTTCATTGTTATTCGGCCTTTAAGTCAGCCTTCCTACCTGACCCCTTTTTATTTGCTCACCCCTCATCTTCATGAGTTTTTATATAAATACCTATGACAAGTACATGTGTGATCAGATAGTTCGAAATGTGTTGCGCAAATACATTACACGGTTCAGACAATTTATGTCTTCTTATTGTTTTGTCGAAGTTTATGGAGGGAACTAATTGTTTTAAATTCTTTTTAAATTAGTTTCAAAATATCAGTTGTCTGAGATAATTCATCACATATCACTAATTAGCGTGTTTTTATCTTCTCGTCTAAAGTAAACATATCAATTAAATGTATATTTGTGTGTATATGTATGTCATATATATAGAGATCCGGTTATTTATATGGACCCAATTCTCATGTAAGTTGATTTTAAAGAAATATATTTTGAAGATCCTTGAAATTTTATTCAGTGTTTTTCATCTTTACATCCAAGTTTTTCAACTCGTTGTCTTTGCATCATTTTGAATGCTGTCTGTCATCCTATTTTGATCTTGCTAGCCTTTTCTGTTAGCTTTGTAAATATCCCCAGCCTTTGTTGTTGTTCTTGTTGTTGTTGTTGTTATTTATCTTAAAGCGTTTTTACTAATTGTTATGCCTATTTTATATTCCTTTATGTGCCTGTTATGCTGCTATTGTATTTGTTTCTCGAATTTCTTTTTTTTTTAATCATGTATCCAAAATATGCTATTGCCTTGTTGGTTTTCACCGTTATTATCATGATTGATATTTGAATTTTTCTAATTTAGAAGTTGAAAACAGCTCAAGATATCGAAAAGTCTGAATTCTTGACATGGTTGGATAAATACCAAGCTCAACTGGTTGTTTTGGCTGCTCAAGTCATCTGGTCTGAAGCTGTTGACAATGCTTTAACTGCTATGAAAGGTCAAAGTAATTCACTACAAGGCAGTCCACTTCAAAAGTGTCTTACATCTGTTGAAGAAATGCTAAATGTACTTGCTGATTGCGTTTTGTATGAACAACCGCCTGTACGTCGACAAAAATTAGAACATCTTATTATTGAGCATGTTCACCAACGTGATGTTATTCGAAGTTTGCTACGAAATGATGTGAATTCACCTCGTTCATTCGATTGGTTGAGTCAAATGCGCTTCTACTTCGATCCAAAACAAACTGATCCTTTAAGGCAAGTTTCAATTCAAATGGCTAATGCGAGATTCCAGTATGGTTTTGAATATCTTGGTCTAAATGATCGTCTTGTCCAGACTCCACTTACTGATCGTTGTTATTTAACAATGACTCAAGCTCTTGAAGCTCGTCTAGGCGGATCACCTTTCGGTCCAGCAGGTACTGGAAAAACGGAATCAGTAAAAGCTCTGGGAACACAATTGGGTCGATTTGTCCTTGTTTTTAATTGCGATGAAACATTTGATTTCCACGTAAGTTGTCAAATACATCACCATCCTATTTTTTTTCTGTCTCTTCACTCTCTCTCCGTCCCTCTAAACAACCAGATTACTTCAAAATAATTTTTCTATATTGTAATTTTGATTCATTCATGTGTAGGCTATGGGACGAATTTTTGTTGGATTATGTCAAGTTGGGGCTTGGGGATGTTTTGATGAATTCAATCGTTTGGAGGAACGAATGCTTTCAGCTGTTTCTCAGCAAGTACAAGGTATTCAGGAAACTCTTAGAGATATGGCATTATCTCAGAAAAGTGGTACAAAGGAATCTGTTACAGTTGAGCTCCTTGGGAAGCAAGTGAGTTTAAAAAAAGTTAATCATCTGATTTGTTTTATTCCTTGTTAGTGGTTATCTTGATTCTCAAAACTATTGTATACATTTAAAATTCGCTCGTGTTGATTAGTCGAAAATTATATGTATACTTTTACAGGTTAACGTCCATCCTGATATGGCGATATTTATTACAATGAATCCTGGGTATGCTGGACGTTCTAATCTACCAGATAATTTAAAGAAACTCTTCCGTTCATTGGCTATGACTCAACCTGATAGACAGTTGATTGCACAAGTTATGCTGTATTCACAGGTACTTTTTCATTGTGAAACATTCAGTTATTGTGCTAGGTTCTGTTATGATGTATCTATCTACTATATTGCTTGTTTAGTTAGCTATGTCATTCTGGTTTTACTAAAGTTCTGTTTACTGTTAAATTGATAACTCTGAAAGTTAAGTTGGACTTTCTTACGTATACATTTCTTATCCATGATTAAGGAGTTTGCGAAATACGAGAATCCCTTATCTTCAAATAATTTCACCATCCAATGATGTAACAGACATCTTTTATTGGTATCCTTATTTTCCTTAAAGGTGCAGGTAAAGTTATTACAGTCCTTCTGTCGAAACCCTTTTTATATGTACGACTATATTGTAGGAAGTTTCGTATTTAGTTTCGCCATGTGTCATTTTTAGATTCTATCAAAACTGAACAACTGTAGGCTATTTGATATCTTACATTCAGTACAGAGAAATGAATCTAGTCTCATTCATGAGTTTGTAACATCAACTAAACTAACTTTATTTCCCTTTTTTAGGGTTTCCGAACAGCTGAAAAATTGGCCAGTAAAATTGTTCCTTTCTTCCAACTTTGCGATGAACAATTATCTGCTCAGTCACATTATGATTTCGGTTTGAGAGCATTGAAATCAGTTCTGGTATCAGCTGGTAATGTGAAAAGAGAACGTATTCAAAAATTAAAAGAGGGTATATTAGCTCGTGGAGAAACGGTTAGTACTATTCAGTACATGTCTGTTGTATGTGGAAATACTTTTACATGAGAGTTTCTGTTTAGAATTTTGTATGAAGTGTTTGTAGCTGTTATAATTTTATCAGTAGGATGTTTTTTGTAAGCGGAAGTTGAGTTATCTGCATTAGCTTGCTTCATGTCAGTAATGCCTGTTTGACGTTTCGTCACTCGTATCCGAGCAGGTTGTGTATCACTGACTCATATTCATCATCGTTCATTCTGGAATGGTTATAGAAGAAGTGTTTCCCTTCACATCCCTGCTCATTCCTCTGGTTTTCCTTTCTTCGTGAGTAGTTAGCAGATACATGTTTCAAATATGTAAAAGTTCTTATTTGCATCATACGAATACCCGTTTACAGGTAATGGATCTTAAAATATACTGTTGTTATGTTGTTAATTAAAATGAAACAAGTGGAAATTTCTCCATATCATCTTATTATTTTCTGGTTTCTCGTAGAATTCTCTTCATTTTTCTCTTAAATATTTTTATTTGTTACCCACTAGGTGAATGAAACATCAATAGCAGAATCGCTGCCTGAACAAGAAATACTTATCCAGTCAGTTATGGAAACAATGGTTCCGAAATTGGTTGCTGAGGATATTCCCCTACTGTATAGTTTGCTTACAGATGTATTTCCTGGAGTTCGTTACTCTCAGTCAGCTATGGAGAATCTACGCCGTGAACTACGTCGTATTTGTGATGAAATGTATCTTGTTTACGATGAAACTGGTGTTGATAATTCAGGAGATAATGATATTGTTCAACCATCTTCTGGAAGCAGTTCAGGCCTTTGGGTACAAAAAGTCTTACAGTTATATCAAATTACATGTATCCATCATGGCTTGATGATGGTTGGACCATCAGGTAGTGGAAAATCTACAGCCTGGCGTGTATTGCTAAAAGCCTTAGAGCGTGTAGAAGGTGTTGAGGGAGTCGCTCACGTAATTGATCCTAAATCAATCAGTAAAGAATCTTTGTACGGTTGCCTCGATCCTAATACACGTGAATGGTCCGACGGTCTATTTACCCACATTTTGAGAAAGTAAGACTATGTGACATACTCGGAGTTTTCAAATAATTATTATTTTCAGTAAGGCTTTATATATATATATATATAACAGTTGATAAGACACTTTTCATACCATTATTTTTGACTAGGCCTTTTGAATCATACTGTTGATATCACTCTACGGTAAAGTCATAGTTATAGATTTTGGTGAGTGAGTATGAAGTGCTTTACCGTGTGTATGACGTTTTCACCATCTTAATGTTTTGAACATCTTGTCATTCATCATGAAATTCGGAAATGAATGCTGAATTACGCGTTCAGTAGTAATTAGTTTGCTAATTTTTATTTTGATGACTGATTCGTCGTGGATATCACATATTCTATTCCTACAGTAATTGCCTAGGTGATAAGTATTACAAATGGGGATTAAGCTACATTGTATAAATATTAAGCTTAAAATCCTCGTAGGAATTTATAAGGAGAATTATATGGTCTCTTTGGCACACTAAAGGACGAGACGCATGAATACATCATATCAATCTGTAATTGTGAGTAGACAGTGAAGAGATCAAATCTATACCTAATTGTTTAGCAGCAGCGATCCTAGTCAACTTAAAAATGTTGCAGTGGGACCACATTTTCTTCATATGCGATGAATTGAAGACTACATCGCCTTGTTATCAGCATGACTATTGGGTCACGGGTTCGAACCCTGCCCCGCTTACCGACGTTTGAGCAGCTAGGTAGTATCACTAGCCCTCACAAAATTGGTGTGGCTCACTGCCTACTGCACGGATGTGCACAAGGCAGCTGAGTGCGTTGGGTTTCGTTCGTTCCACTGTTGTTCACGTGTAACTTTCAAAAAGTCAAGCGAATTCACTGAGTGCTTTTGTGTGTGGTTTCCTATGTACTTGAAAGAAACCATATATTATACCACTTCATTTTATAATGGCCAAACTAATGAAATACAAGATTCATTCATCCAATACCAATTCAGATACGATATGCAAATATGCTTTTGTTATAGCTTACTTGACATTAGTTAGTTTGCAGTTCTAACTGGAAGCAGATCGTTTGTTGACCTAGTTAATTGTTCTCCTGTTTCATTCGATAGCATTTTTTATTTTCCTACCTTCTTGATTTTCAGGATTATCGATAGTATTCGTGGTGAATCGTTCAAAAGACAATGGATTATTTTTGATGGTGATGTTGATCCAGAATGGGTAGAAAATTTAAATTCTGTTTTAGATGATAACAAACTTTTAACATTACCTAATGGTGAACGTCTTGGCATACCACCCAATGTACGAATTATGTTTGAAGTGCAAGATCTACGTTATGCTACTTTGGCTACTGTTTCACGTTGCGGAATGGTTTGGTTTAGCGATGATGTTATTCCTCCGGAGCTGGTTATGCAACATTTCTTGCGTCAGTTGCAAAATGTACGTATTGATGAGGGAGAGGAAGAACCTGTTGGTTTCGGTACTACACCTGTTCCCAATACTACTTCACCCGGAAGACACCCCAGCTTGGTTGATGATACCTCACTTACGAATGTAGCTGTTAGTGCTTCAATGCAACTTCAACGAGATGTGGCTTCAATATTAACTCCGTTTTTCACTGAAGGAGGTTTAGTCTCAAAATGTATTGAGTATGCTAAAAATCTTGAACACATAATGGATTTCATGCCTTTGAGAGCACTATCAAGTCTCTTTTCAATTCTTAAACAGTGCACCGGAAATATTTTAGCCTACAACATGACTCATCCAGATTTCTCAATGTCCTTGGATCAAATTGAATCGTACGTGACGAAATCCCTTATCACAGGGATCATTTGGTCGCTATGCGGTGATGGCAAATTAAGTGTTCGTGAACAGTTGGGCTCTTTCATTCGGGAAATTACTACCATCCCAATGCCACCTCCTGGTACTCCAGTAATAGACTACGAAGTTACACTGTCAGGTGAATGGCAATCTTGGACTCAGAAAGTTCCTGTGATCGAGGTTGAGACGCACAAAATAACGTCTATGGATGTTGTAGTACCGACTCTAGATACTGTTAGACATGAAGCTCTGCTATACATGTGGTTAGCTGAACATCGTCCAATGGTCCTATGTGGACCCCCAGGGTCCGGTAAAACCATGACACTTTTCAGGTAATATCTGTTCTTTGAAGTTCAAGTTAATTTAGCTCTTATGATTAACATTTTCACTTGATTAACTAGTTATTGCTTGACCTTTTTAATGCGAATGATTGGGATTTCCAGCCTTCACTTGATTTTTGAAATGCAAATGATGCCTCGAGTTTGGTATGATTTCCAACCTAGAGATATGAAAAAATGTGTAACTCAGCAACTATGTGCTGGTTCTTACAACATCCAATGAACCAAACCTATTATATATTTTGAGGTTTGTAATACTATCTGGTTATCCAAATTTCGGTTGGTGGAACGGATTTCGAACCCATAAAAATTAACTAAATTTAACCTTCACAAAATGTAGTCGTATTCACTTAATTACTTAGTAATTATCTTCATACTTTCCAGACCCATAGGAGATTAGGGTTAGATACTCAATAAGTTTGTATAAGTAAAAACTATTAGTTATGCATAGGGTTACGTTGATGTTGCGTTGACGTCGATCGTCAACGCCGATTTCCTGAAGATTTTCATTCCCAACTATAAAATTTGTACGAGGTAGATTTTCTTTCATTATGAGTATTTTTGAAACAGATTTTGTTAGATGCGGATGTAAAACTGCCATAATATATTTTAATTGATGGGATTTTCTATCCTATCTCAGTTCTTTTGTGTAAGATAAAGTAAGTGATTAGATCTGGTGAACGCATCTCTTATCAGTTATGAGCATAAATACGTAAAGCCTATCGGTTACTGTGTAGATGATAATATAAACTTTATTATTAGATCAATTGGGTGTATAATCCATACTAGCTATCACTTTCACGATATACCTGTGAAACAAAACTACTTAAGGTACACAATCACTCTCTAGAATCACCTAAAAATTTAATAAAGCCTATTACTTTTTATTGAGTATATAAATAGTTTTAAGTTTATGAATATTATGAAGAGAAAAGTGTTTGTTGTAAACAACCTCATTTCTTTCCATTTATCTCTATTCATTTTAGTGCATTACGTGGCTTACCAGACATGGAAGTAGTGGGTCTTAATTTCTCCAGTGCAACCACTCCAGAGTTGATGTTGAAAACATTCGATCAGTATTGTGAATATCGTAAAACGCCTAATGGATTAGTGTTAGCTCCTGTTCAACTGAATAAATGGCTAGTATTCTTTTGTGATGAGATTAATTTACCTAATGAAGATAAATATGGTACTCAACGTGTTATCAGCTTCTTGCGACAAATGGTTGAACATGGTGGCTTCTATCAAACTACAGATATGCAATGGGTGAAATTTGAACGTATCCAATTTGTTGGTGCATGTAATCCACCTACTGATCCTGGTAGGAAACCACTCTCTCATCGTTTCCTACGTCATGTCCCTGTTGTATATGTTGACTATCCCGGTGAAACATCATTGAAACAGATATACGGAACATTTAACCGAGCCATGTTACGTCTTTTGCCTTCACTTCGTCCACAAGCTGACTCACTAACAAATGCAATGGTTGAGTTTTTTTTAATGTCTCAGAAACGCTTTACTCAAGACATGCAACCACACTATGTCTATAGTCCACGTGAATTATCACGTTGGGTAAGAGGCATACATGAAGCTTTGAAGCCGTTAGATAGTCTTCCACTAGAAGGTTTGGTGCGTATATGGGCTCATGAAGCTTTGAGATTGTTCCAAGACCGCTTAATTGAAGAGTCTGAACGTCAGTGGACTGATATAAACATTGATGAAGTGGCTATGAAATATTTCCCTACAATTGATCGTACAGTAGCTCTTCAACGACCTATTCTGTTTAGCAACTGGTTGTCAAAAGATTATACATCAGTTGAACAAGAACCTTTGCGTGATTATGTAAAATCACGTCTAAAGGTATTTTATGAAGAAGAATTAGATGTACCTTTGGTTTTGTTCAATCAAGTTCTGGATCATGTCCTTCGTATTGATAGAGTGTTCCGTCAACCACAGGGTCATTTACTGCTTATTGGTGTTAGTGGAGCTGGTAAAACTACTTTATCCAGATTTGTCTCGTGGATAAATGGATTAAGTGTATTCCAAGTGAAAGTTCATAATAAATATACTGCTGAAAACTTTGATGATGATCTACGAAATGTTCTGCGTCGAGCTGGTTGTAAAGGTGAAAAGATCACATTTATAATGGATGAATCGAATGTCCTCGACTCAAGTTTTCTGGAACGTATAAATACTCTTTTGGCAAATGGTGAAGTTCCAGGTCTCTTTGAAGGTGATGAGTTCTCAGCTCTGATGACTCATTGCAAAGAAGGTGCTGCACGTGAAGGACTTATGATTGACAGTCATGAAGAGTTGTACAAATGGTTTACCACCCAGATATGCACTAATTTACATGTTGTTTTCACAATGAATCCATCAGCTGATGGACTGAAAGATCGAGCTTCCACATCTCCTGCTCTTTTTAATCGTTGCGTCCTCAACTGGTTTGGCGACTGGTCTTTAGAAGCTTATTATCAGGTAATACTCTTCACTAACCATTTACGTATTACTATGATTATTTAAAACACGTTTCGCACAATTTTCTTACATTTGAGTTTTATTGGAATTAGAAATATAAACCTTTGACTACGTTCAAACGGTTTCATTTTTAAAACAACCAACAAACGTTATTTAAGTATACTCAACGTAGAAGAGGTAGCTATCATGACTCGTTGGCGTAGTAGATAACGCTCTAGCCTTTTTTAGCCATTGGCTGCGGGTTCGAGTCTTAGTGAGAAAAATGTCGCTCACTTGAAGGCAAACACATCCAGATGATAAGTCCCAAGTAGGACGAAATGCACATCCCAGATTCCATTGCTAACTAGTTTCCATTACTAATAGAATTTACTGAATTTTTAAACTTAGGGGTTTTACTCTGCATAAACGATTTTACTTTTATGCAATGAAGGAATATTTATATACATACATAATACAGACTAAGATATTGAATGAATCATGGCAACACATAGTGAATGACTTAAACATTTTAAAAAGTATTCTTGTGCCTATCAAATGGTTTTTCAGTTTAGGTTAATTAGTGAATAGTTTTCTTCAGCTATTTTGTACCGGTCTAGGAGTTTTCATCTGTTCAGAGAAAGCAACACAACCGAAATCCTTTATGTGAACTACAAGTATTCTCCATCACTTTTCAACAATACCATACTATCGACTTTTCTTCGGCATACATTGATGAATCTAAAAGCTACAGTTTACTGGTCTAGGTGATTGACTTCTGTCTGGATTTGAAGCTCTCTCTGTCTACCGAGGTTTAGGGAACCAGGTAGTATCATCAGCGCTTACGCAATCAGTGTGATTCATTAATTAGTGCATGAACCTGAATGTAGCTGCAGAGTTACTGAAGATTTGGTGGTGAGAATCCTGCATCCTATGAAGATGGACTAAAGTTATTATTATTATGTGTTAGTTGTATACATTTTGAAATTCCAAAGTTCTTTGAGGTCAACCACTGGAAGTGTGTATTCACATACAAATGATGAGTGCACACATGATGTAGTGTATAAGGGTCAAAGTAAGCTTGGATTCTTTTCCAAACCATTATATCGACTTTCTTTGAAAATTACTTCTCTTTTTTCAACAATCTGAGTATATTCTACACTTGTGTCGTTATTTGCATAATACACTTATCGTAGTTAGAAATAACAGTTTCGAATGAAGTCTTTTTTTCTTCTTGGTTATCAATCATTTTCATTGTTTAAATCGAACAAAAAATTTTTTTAAATTTTTATATTTCAGGTTGGCAAAGAATTCACTATTAAAATGGATATGGAATGCCCAGATTATAAAGTTCCCGATGTTATACCATTTGTTGTTGAAGGTTTACTTCCAGAATGTCCATCATTTCGTGAAATGGTTGCAAATGCCTTTGTTTTTGTTCATCAAACTCTACATGAAGCAAATCATCGACTACAAAAACGAGGTGCACGTACTATGTGGATTACACCAAGACATTTCTTAGATTTTATTGCACATTTTGTTCTTCTAATGACTGAAAAACGTGCAGATTTAGAAGAACAACAACTTCACTTACATATTGGATTGCAAAAGATTAAGGAAACTGTTGGACAGGTTAGCGTCCTTGGTATATATCATCATTCTTTCTTTCACCCCCCCCCCTCCACTCCCCACTTTTTCATCTTCTATATAGTATGATAATATTTTCACTTGTTTATTTATATTTATTGTATGTGTACTCATATTTTTTATACAAAAAATTATTTTTGTCTTTAGGTTGAAGTGATGCAAAAGTCTTTAACACAAAAAAGCTTAGAATTGGAACAAATGAACAATGCAGCTAATGATAAATTGAAAACAAATGGTTCAAGATCAACAGGAAGCTGAGAAAAAGAAAACTATGAGTCAAAGGTTACAAGAAGAATTAGCTAGTCAAGAATTATATATAAATGAAAAGCGTACTTTAGTTATGCAAGAACTTAGTCAAGTTGAACCAGCAGTTGCTGAAGCGAAACAAGGTATTATTCTTCTCTCTTTCACTACTTGAAATTAATCTGAAAGTGTTATATTATTTGAGTTTCTTTATATGTGAAGAGGCAATCGGGGTTGATCGTCAGGTTGAAATCTCATCAATCTTACGGTAACTGCCAATGAAATCGATTCTTAATTATCTCTTGCTTATTGATACAGAACTATTGAATAAAATTGATATGCTTGTGTATTTGACGTTGTTAATATACAAGACTATGGACTTGAATCGATTCATAAACTAATAACCTTACACTTTAACTGTTATATACAGGTCCTTGTTCTAATTTATCAGTTAATGTATACGATGGGGCTAACCTCAGTAGGTGAAATGTTGGTCTAACTCTATAATCCACTGGTTGAAATCCTTGTACTTCATTAAATCTAAATGTATCCATGAAATATTGTTTCATGCATCTGTTACTTATATATTCATAATTGAATAAGGTCAGATGATAAATGAGCCATTCATGTTAAGCAGTATACGATTAACTATCGTCCAATAGTTCATGAGATCCTATATATTAGATTTATTTATTTGATTGATAACACACAGTGATCTAATATTATTTACTTGATGACATTTCGAGCATAAATTGTCATTGCTCATAATCACCACATCAATGTAATCTCACACCACTTTCAACAGTCGATTTTTATAGTTGCGTCACTTTATATGAGTTGTTCTTATTGGTAGCAAAATTTTCCATATCTCTGGTGTAGATAGGTGTTGCGTCATTTCTATTACATGTGTTGAGTGTTGATTCGATGAAAAAAGACTCAGTCATAAATTTCTCCCTCTCTCTCCACCTAATTATATTTGACAGTGGCTTGTACAGTGGCTTTATCTCAACCACCATATTGTGTGGTTATGTGTTAATGCATGCATAGCAATAGCTGAGTCACCTTCTAGATTATTGATCTTACTTAGGTCTGTTATTCTATATTTAGATAAATTCCTATCTTCGACTATTCTAACTGACCCCAACTGACTAGTTTGACCTATATACTTGATCTCACAGTCATTAACATGGTATTTGATAGATTATATTATTTTGCTTAATTGGTTCTATCGGATCCTTAAGCCAGCCGACAAAGTTTATCTCTGAGTGAGTTTGGAGGTTTAAATGTCACCCTAATTCCAGCTCTGTTGAGGATTTTACGCAAAGTTTCTGAGGTACCCTCCTTATAGGGTAATACGCAGTTCATCAAGAAAATTTTTACTGACACACAAAAAACAAAAAAATAACAGTCACACGGGTTCGACTAGTAACGATAACACTAGGAAAAAGGTGTTCACAGCCTCCATTGTATTACCCTGTAAAGAGGGTACCTCAGAAACTTTACGTAGAATCCTCAACAGAGCTGAAATTAGGGTGACATTTAAACCTCCAAACTCACTCAGAGATAAACTTTGTCGGCTGGCTTAAGGATCCGATAGAACCAATTAAGGCAAAATAATATAATCTATCAAATACCATGTAATGACTGTGAGACCAAGTATATAGGTCAAACTAGTCAGTTGGGGTCAGTTAGAATAGTCGAAGATAGGAATTTATCTAAATATAGAATAACAGACCTAAGTAAGATCAATAATCTAGAAGGTGACTCGGCTATTGCTATGCATGCATTAACACATAACCACACAATATGGTGGTTGAGATAAAGCCACTGTCAAATATAATTAGGTGGAGAGAGAGGGAGAAATTTATGACTGAGTCTTTTTTCATCGAATCAACACTCAACACATGTAATAGAAATGACGCAACACCTATCTACACCAGAGATATGGAAAATTTTGCTACCAATAAGAACAACTCATATAAAGTGACGCAACTATAAAAATCGACTGTTGAAAGTGGTGTGAGATTACATTGATGTGGTGATTATGAGCAATGACAATTTATGCTCGAAATGTCATCAAGTAAATAATATTAGATCACTGTGTGTTATCAATCAAATAAATAAATCTAAAATGGAATTAATTTCTACCACAGTGCCCAAGTTTTACACCTATATTAGTTCATGAGATCATTTCTTTATTCTAACCTTTAAAATGTAGTTTATTATTATAGAAATAACCATGATATTTCTCATCCTAGCCGTCAATTCAGTAAAGCGTGCACAGTTGGTTGAAATTCGTGCACTGGGTAATCCACCCCAGTTGGTCAAAATGACCATTGAATCCATCTGTACAATGTTGGGTGAAACTGATTTGGATTGGAAAGAACTGCGTTCCTGCCTACTTCGGGATAATTTTATCGCTTCCATTGTAAACTTTAATACAGAGGATATTACGTGAGTGTTATGAGGCTTCCTATCACGTTAGTTCCTTGCCACAAAAAAAACATCTGCATTTCTTCATCTGTTGCGTCTCTGTGTATATTTGCTGGCTGTTAAACGTTCGCCAAGTTTTTTGATGAATGTCAGTGTGTTTATTCCTTCGCAATGTTTCATTGTTTTCTTCAGTGTTTGTAATTGTTGCTTGTGTTTTCAGTTTTTTCTTCTTTTGTTACTTGTTATTATTTGTCTCAGCTGTCGAAGGGATACGCAAAAGAGATATTCAAGAGATAAGAGCTATGAAAAATCCTCCTTCAGTAGTCAAAATGGCAGTGGAATCCATTTGTCTATTATTGGGAGAGGGATCTACTGATTGGAATCAGATTTTGAAAACGCTTGTGAAAGATTCATTTGTTCCCAGCATTATCAATTTTAACACTGACGATGTGACGTAAGTTTTGATTATTGAGCTTTCCAGACGCTTACTCCCTCCTGCTACAGTACTTTATAAAACTATTTTAAAAAAAAAGCACTTCAAGTATACACTGCATAAGTTCGAACCTGTGTTGGTGAATATTAAATAGTCTGATGGTTTCTGGCAGTGCTGTAGGTTACAGTGTTTCTTTGAATTGCCTCCTTTCATACACCTACCAAGTGTATCTCATTGGTTGCATTTGGAGTAATAGTTTTTTATGTGAACAGTGTTCATACTATGTGTCATGAATGTTATGTTAAATGTTGAATGTTTGCTTGCGTTTGTTTGGCTTGCTGTATTTATGTACATGCTTGCTTTTTCTTCTACAAGTATATGTCTACAGTGTATTTAGGTGTTAATTCACCGTTATTTTCTACTCATTATTTTATGATTATCATTTTTACTGATAAGAGAATCGTTTTGAATTCAGTGCCATTGTTCACCATACAACATACAGTATGTGATCCTGACATTTTTTCCCCTCAATATGTACCATCTATGTTCTCCTTTCAGTGACAGTATCCGAGAGACAATGAAAAAGAAGTACATCAGTAATCCTGACTATAACTTTGAAAAAGTCAATAGAGCCAGTAGTGCTTGTGGGCCAATGGTGAAATGGGCGATAGCACAGGTTAGCATTTTACAAATGTATTTCAGTATGTGTGATGCAACTTGTAGAAATTTATATTTGAGAATTAAAGTAAAACTGCTAATGAAAATTTATATTACAAAATATATCATGAACTAAGAGAAGTTGGAAATATAAACTGTTGGATTCGACCCAGTGGCTCAATGGTAACGTGCCGGCCACAGAACCTGAAGGTCCTGGGTTCGACCCCTGGAGGGGTCATGGATGCATACTGCTGAGGAGTCCCATACTAGGACGAAACAACTGTCCAGTGCTCCCAGGTTTCCAATGTTCCTCTGATTGATGTTAGTCCATGATGAATACCAACTTGGAAATCACTCAATCTTCACAAACCTCCAAATGTAGCTCCGTTTTAATTGATTGATTAAATACATCACACAGTGAAACAGCATTGTTTACTGGATTATTCCTGAGGTAATTAGATTTTCTTAACGCAACTGTTGAGTTGCGGTCTTATGTTGTTTGGATTAGGCTTGTTTAGTGAAGTTAGTACATTACTGTACTGTAGGCCTGAATATATGTAGAATCAGGCGTGTCAGTTGATACGTCGGTCATTTCAGTCGGTTATTTTTAAAATATTTTACAGGTAGATTACATAATTTTATGTAATCGCAACTTTCTCCAGTTCCTTTCAGTGTCAGGTCATACTTGTGATTAGGTGAAGAGACCGACATCATTGTGGTAAAAGGCTACATTGACTGGTTTTAATCTTCTCCTACAGCTTAATACTAACTCAGCATTATTCTCACTACCTATTTCTTAACACAATGATTATCAGTGATTTTTAATAGTGGTGACTATGATAGGGAAAGATAAGTGAGGCAGTATTATACTAATAATGATGGCAACTGTTAAAATCTAGAAATATTGAAGAGAACACAATGAGAGAACTAGCGTGCACTAGGAAAGTAGTGAAGACATGTTCGATTCAAACAATTACTTTCTAAAACACGATAAGAGAATAAAGATACGGTTTCTTTGGAAACAGCCTTATGCTACACTGTTTATTATTTTGTCTACAGTATTCAGTTCCTTCAAAACTTATCGTCTTACAGCGCACACAATTCAATATATTCACTCTCCATAAGCCTGCAACTAAGTAATTGTTTTTGGATGATTTAAACGACTTGAATAAATGCAACTCAACCCTCTACTGGTTCATTTAGTGGGCTATGAACCATGAATATTGTATGTCTTCATGGTAATGCTATGTTTTCCAAATCGAAGTAGATGAGGCGTCGCCTAAAAGTTCTAACGAGATAAATCTTATTTTGTGTTAGTTATTGTAGTTGTCCCCCCCCCCCCGATAGATTACTTTTGTGAGACATTTTCTGACGGCTTTAATCACCGTAGTCACTATAGAATTTGTGCGTCATCCTGTTTAAATAGACGAGTAATTTCCTTATCTATCTCATGTGATTGATGTAGCCGTTTGTAACTCTATTCGTGGAGTTTCACATGTCATGGAATTAACTGAATGATTTAGGCATTGACACTACCAGAGACCTAATACATCAAGTGTTGCTGGTTGGTGTACGTAGAAATCTTAAAAACGTTACTCAGGAATAACTGTAGTGCGTATCCTAGCTTATTAACTAGTTGTCGTTATTACATATTGCTGCTTTATTTTTCCACTAAAGTGGATTTTTTTAAAATTTACCACTATTCTATTGGGAAACCATTTCTTCTCAGAAGCCATTCATGATCGTTTATGGTTCGTTTAAATGCTTGTATGGGATTTGAAGCCATTAATTTTAAAGTTGTAGTCACCTTGGACTAACATAAGTCATGGAATCATTGAAAACCTAAGAGCACTGGATAGCTGTTTCGTCATAGTATGGGACTGCCCAGCAGTACCTACTAACTACTCCACCAGAGATCGAACTCAGGACCTTGAGGTTTCACGGCAAACTATTAGTTGTATTTTTATTTAGTTACCGATTTACAACATTAATAATGTTGAAAAAGACATGCATTTACGTTGACTGAACTTCGTCTAAAATGAAAAGAAACTCTATCTATATGCACATTTAATTCATCTTTCTAGATAAATTATGCTGATATACTGAAGAAAGTTGAACCTCTACGAAATGAATTGCAAACGCTAGAGGCTGCTGCAACCACGAATAAAGAGGAAGCGAAGAACGTTGAAGTGACAATTGCAGCTTTAGAGAAAAGTATTGCCAAATACAAAGAGGAATATGCAGTTCTTATTAGTCAAGCTCAAGCAATCAAATCAGATTTGGCGACTGTAGAAGCGAAGGTATCTTACTAAGACATTTTATTTCATGAGATGCATTCAGAATGTACATCTAGTGGTGTCTTCCTTTATATAGAGCATTTCAGAATTGTTTAATTTATACAAAAATTCTCTCTGGTTTCTATTGTCATGTGGATTCAAACTCTCTAGCTGGCACCTCCGAACATGGCCTATACCAACAGTCGAAGACTTCGTGTAGTGATGCCATTTTTTAGTTTGTTAGCTCCAAGTCTTTTTCCAGCCTGAACTTCAGGTAACGTTGTGCGACTAGGCATGTGTAACACATCCTAGCCATCTGAGTCTATGAAGGTTCACAACCGTATCAACTGACTTTCCTTTTCTCCCTAAAACTATACAGAAATAGGAGTGAAATGTATGAAGTTGTATTGTACACAGGTCAGGATGTTCATCTCTTCCAGTTTTTTGTTTCCTAGTCTAGGAACATAAGAACGTTAATAATTACACAAATTATCTTTAGCCATTCACTGGTCAGTAGATGTAGCATTGTTATGCTATGTAGGAGTATATCAAGTTATTTACAAATAGGGTACTGCTCCAATTCACAAGCTTGATGAATATACGTTCATAGCATTGCTCGGATATGGTGTGATAATCTTATGAGCAAGATGGAGGTTAAACGTAGAGTACTAAGAAAAGAAGGCAGGTCAGTCGATAAGCTTTTTAACCTTTCAGCGATTGGGGCAACTAAGCATGAGCGACACGTATCTCTCTAGCCCACAGTCTACCTTGATGCAACATATTAATCGAAGTGGGTTTGAGTTGGTAGAGTGTAAGCTTGACCGAACTGAGATGTGGTACCAGTCCATGAAATCTTTGACTATTAATCTGAACCATGTAGGGAGGAGTAGTAGACTGTCTGGCCGCGGTCTTCAATACAATAGAAATCAATGGTTGAAGACTTTGTGATATGACTCAAAATCAGTCACAATGACACAGATGTATATACACCGATTCGCTTTTGTTCCCAGTTCTACGTTGATTTCTCTGTTTGTTAGAACATGCATCTTGATTTAATTTTGTCTTCTAGTGGCAAATTAGTCCATTAAAATCGAAAACTGTTCTCATTAATTTCCCTATTAGATTACTGACTTGATAGAGACTATATTGTGAAACAGTATTATTTATCGAATGATTATTTGAGTCAAATATATTATTGATAGCCTAAATGTTTTATTAAATATCTTTTTCCTTGTTATACATTCTGTTTCATGATACTAATTAGTTTCTTCTTTATTTTTTTATTTATCCATAATACCTTTATAACAACTTTAGGTTGCACGTTCCGTTGCATTGATCAAATCATTGAGTAATGAACGAGGTCGTTGGGAAAGTGGATCTGAAACTTTCAAATCTCAAATGTCTACTATATTTGGTGATTGTCTACTATCGGCGGCATTTATGGCTTATGGTGGTTATTTTGACCAACATTTTCGCACAAGATTATTTGCTACATGGTGTCAACATTTACAATCTGTAGATATACGTTTCCGTAATGATCTGGCTTTGGTGGAGGTTAGTCTCTTGAAAATAGCAAAAAAAAAAAAAAGCATTTGTAAACATTTCTGTATGCGCGCATACTTGATGAATTGACAGTTTGAAAAACTTATCACAATCTTATTTAACTACATATTGTTTTTTGATTTTCTAGTATCTATCAAATCCAGATGAACGACTTAGATGGCAGGCTAATGCTCTTCCTGATGATGAATTATGTGTCGAAAATGCAATAATACTACGACGTTTCAACAGATATCCATTGATAATCGATCCAAGTGGTCAGGCAACTGAATTCTTACTTAATGAATACAAGTCTAAAAAAATCATGAAAACTTCTTTCCTTGATGATGCTTTCCGTAAAACTTTAGAATCAGCCTTAAGATTCGGTACACCACTTCTTGTTCAAGATGTAGAATCTTATGATTCTATTTTGAATCCAGTGCTCAATCGAGAAGTTCGTCGAACAGGTGGTCGTACATTAATTACTATTGGAGACCAGGATATAGATTTATCACCGACATTCAGTATTTTCCTATCTACAAGAGATCCTTCAGTAAGTTTCTGTGAATGAAGTAAAGTTATTACCGCGTTTATTACTTTTCTCGTCATAAAACTAATACTTAGTCGACAGTGAAGACTACCTTTTCAATATATCAATTATTAATATTATCTTTTGTCTTTTGGGTTCCTAGTGGAACATAGGGCTTCAGCTGCACGTCTCAATTTCACTCTCTTCTCTGGTTCCACAACTACCCACAACCTTTCATTTCTTCCTCACACAATCTCCTCCATATCACCTTTGGACACCCAACTCGTCGTTTCCCGTTTCACTTCCACTCGACGACCTGGCCTGGTGCGTGATGTCCCCAATCGGCCTACTCAGTGTATGCCCAATCCATCTCCACCTCCTTCCACTGCATATTTGTTGGGCGATGGGTTGTTGGTTGGTTCGTTGCCAGACAGCCAGTCAGCCAGCCAGAATATCTTGTTGCTTATTCTTATTATTCTGGCCATCTGATAGATCTTCAGTATCGAGTGAGCGTAGGTGAGAGCTGTTGATGTTGATGTATGTCTGTGGTTTGTTGGAAATGCTTTTCGTAAGGCGCCCAGCCCACTCTGTGAACCATCACATTGAAGTACTGAATTAGTGTTGAAAATCGGGATGTTGTTCAGACTTTATGCTGAGTGCAGTACAATGGAGTGGAGTGGAGTGGGGTGGAGTAATCTCCACACTGATTATTTCGGATTAATGAAGTGCTTTCTTGGTGTCTTTCCGATCGTGGATTTGACATCCTGATGTGTGTGGCCACCACCGCCCGTAGTTGAGAGGATACTGTCTAGGTGGCAGGTGAAAGAGAAAACTTCGTTTAGATTTCTCCCATCGGTGGTGATTGGTGTTTGCTATTGTTGCTTGGTTATCTTTATCACCTCTGTTTTCTCCATGTTCACCCGAAGGCAGTCCCGTCTTCGCTGTTCTGCCTCTTCTGTCAACTTGTTAGTTTTTGCCTGTATATCTTTGTGCGACAAGATATTAGACATAAGTCATCATCGGTGAAATCCAAATCTTCTAGGGTCTTTTCATCGGCCTATCTTCTCGCTGCTCTCAGTTTTTTGTATGATCCAGTCTAGTCCGGTCGACCACAGTCAGGAAGATCATTGGTGATGATAGTAGGCGATAGGCTTGTTTTACTCCTGTCTTCACTTCACAGACACCATTCAACTTTTCATTGTGAATCACTTGACATGTAGCATCATTCGGCATATAGTTGTTGAATGAGGTTGGTAAAGGTTTGTTGCAGTGAGACCGTAGTGTTGAAGCAGCAGCTGGCAAATTACTTTTCGGTCGACGCTGTCGAAGGTCCTGTCAAAGTTGTTGAGGTTGAAGTGGAGAGTTGACTATCATTCTATATTCTGTTCTATGATGATAAGCAGCTTAGGATTGCAATTTGATGTGCACACGATTTGTTCTTCCTCAATCCAGCCAGCCGGTTCTGGTCTTCAATATATCATATCTGACTCATTTTTTGTTTACTTTTTCGATTACAGGTAGATTTTCCTGCTGATGTTTGTTCTCGTGTAACCTTTGTCAATTTCACTGTCACACGTGGCAGTTTACAAAACCAGTGTTTAAATGCGGCTCTCAAAGCTGAACGTCCAGATGTGGATGCCAAGAGATCAGATTTGTTAAAAATGCAAGGTGAATTCCAACTGAAGTTGCGTCACCTAGAAAAAGATTTATTACAGTCATTAAATGAAGCCAAGGTAATTACTTAGAAAAAGGGATGCCATTTTTGTGGTTACACCGTCAACTTTTATGGTATTGATAAAATTAGACCAGGTTTTTTTTTACAAACTGCACAAATTAGTACCTCATCATTGTTTAATGTGTTTTACATCAGATTATAGCCCACAATATTTCTTACCTACACAGCAGTTGTGGGTACACAAATGTCATAGTTACTGTTTCCCCAGTGTTTTGTTTTCCTTACAAAAATATTTCATAATAGTCTCTGACTACTGTTTACACGAAAGCATTGCAGTATTACTGGTACTTATAACTACAGGTGTATTGTCCCAGCTATACTCCATTGTATTCATCGTCAGTTTGAGAAAATATTAGTAGTTTTTTTTAATCGAGGAATAAGTTTGATGTTTATCAGTTCATGACAAGTTTTCGTTTATTGTTGTTATATCCTGCTCTCATTGAAACCAGTAATATGTAAGCATTCAGTAACCGGCTACAAGTCATTAAATAAGACCGTTAAGCTTGTTTGTGTTATATATAGTATAAGTTGTTTGGATGATAGGAATCGGTGGTTGAGGACTGTTGATGATGACGTATCTGGCAATCAATCACGACTTTTTGACGTCTTCTAAAAGTTGAATATTTGCACTAACATTTGACTCCAAATTATTTATTCTCTCATACAACTTTTTCCACTATCCACCTGTTCTTAGTATAGTATTGTGAATTGTGGCAAAGTGAATCGATGCAGTTGTGTGCGATGTTCTACGTTAATTTGTCTGTCTAGAATGATAAGCCTATTCCTCGGGATCCATACTTGAACGATGTTCTTCTTCATGGATTTGAGCACTTGACTTTCAACTAATGTTTCCTGGATTCATACTCACCGCGGTTGATTTCGTCTTAGTGCTTGAAAGAATTTACCGATTAGTGTAGCTCATAGCGAAGTTTGTATTGGTTAGTTGAGTTCATCCATGAATCGAATAAGCGAAGTTTTTCGAGGCATAAGTAATAGGATTATTCGTTTGTTATTACTCTTACTGATTTCATTATGGTAACCTGAACCAACAAACTACTGTGTTTCTCTTCTAGCGTCTTGTAGGTATTGCAGTGTTTGGCATAAACAACGGTTTTCTCACAAAGCATATCTTTTCTATCGACAATGGCATTTTGTCGTTTGTCATGAAGCGACATACATGTTTTTTACCAGTTGTTATTTCACATGCTCCAGCCGTTAACTGCAAGCATAACGCTGACGCTGTCACGTGATTCTGAATTTCTACAAGCTCTACTATCTGGATATCGCTGCTGTTATGACTAACTCTAAAGGTCACCCTAACAACAAATTAGATAGCCAATTAGACTTCGTTATTTTATGCAAATTTGACTTTCCAATAGAAATGAAGAAACTTGAATGACCACTCCAGTCGTTACCAGGGTGGCTTTTAGTTTTACTCACCGCTCTACGTGATTACGCCTATGAGTAGCTAACTAAAATGATTACAAGATTAGATATTCTTAACCACTTTGACAGATATCTTTCTTTCCCTTCAGTTAGATTTACAGTTAACAGGTTTATACCAATGAGTAGCCCACAATAAATTTAAAAATGTAACAGCTATTTGAACTACAAAATGATTGGCATGCTTTTCAGTTAATTAACACTAACTTTTCAAACGAACTGCATGGAAGAGTAATCAAGGAGTCTATAAAAAAAGTGTGAAAGTAGTTTTTAAAAAAGTGGTAAAATGACTTCTGCGTAGATGTCCGTGGGAAATTAATGCAATAATTGACTGGAATATACTTGTCAAAACTCATCCCTACCTTCCTTCAAATGTATTAGTCTACTTAGTTGTGACTAGCAGAAGAATCCAAGACGCACGTTTCGTCCTATTTGGGACTCGTCAGCTGGCTGTACATGCACCCAGTGAGTGGTGTTGTTCCCACTGAGACTCGAGCCTCGTAACCATCGCTTCAAACGTCATGGCGTTATCGTGCCTCAGTGGCTTGTGGCGAGGGTTTGAGTCTCGGTGGAAACAACATCAACCACTGGTGTCCAGGTACGTCCAGCTGACAAGACTCAAATAGGACGAAACGCACGTCCTGGATTCCTCTGCTACCCACAACCGAGTACATTGCCGTTATAAGTGTTCGGGCAATATCGGGGCATCCGCATAGGAGCCTATATACTAACAGAGGTCGAACAATTCGATCCAGTAAAACAATGGAAGATTACAGGTACATCAACAAAAAGTCGTAACAGATGTATTGTTTGCCACTAGAACTTTTTCAGTTCACCTGTTTCTGTGGAGTAAAGTATATTGACCGTACTCGGCGTTCGCTTTCCAAACATATATCAGCCTAGTTCCATAAAGGAGATCATCTCAGAGATCTATTTTAGAACACTTGATCGATTATGACCATCCGGTAAATGCAGAAAACAACTTCAGTGTTATCTGTATAGTTCGTGCAAACCTCGTGAAAAAGTGTACACCTGAAACTTCTCCAAACTGTGGAAGCCACGGCAATTAATACTTTTAAACCTGAACTGTGTCCAGTCACTTGAGTTGCAATAGACATAACCTGTCAAAGCATTTTACCCTCGAAATCGTTTCTTTCACATCTTACGTATCACATTTTTCCACCCCATCATTCTGATTTCTCACTGCATTCACCAATCCCTTAAACCATATTAGAACATTTAACTTAGTAACCAACTATGGTTTTGGTCTTGATAAGTTTTCTCATCACTACTCAAGACATTACGTAATTCTTTTTCCGATCTCCTAATTTGTAGTCAAAACTGAATTTCGTCAAAAAAATATATTATGAAACATTTCTTTTCTGTTACGTTGTGAATAGAGTATTTATGTATGTGACTGTACAGCTTGAGAATGACAACACTAAAAAATGAGACTCTTCACTACATCTTACTGTATTACATTTATCGAGGTATATTACATATATGGGTGATTAGCAAGTTGTATAACCTAGATAGTATGGATGTGTCACTACAATCTGAGTTCGATTGTACACCACATGTTTCTACGCGTCTGTTCAAAAAACATATGATACTAGTTTTCAACATAGATCATCTAAAAAGCATGTTCGCGAATCGGTTGTGCATGATGAATAACTGATATCAGTCTACACTGTCGTCTAAATGTTTATCACTCATATTATTATGTTATATTATTTGTCCCTTGGGTTCCTAGCGGAACATAGGGCTTCAGCTGCACGGCTCCATTGCATTCTGTGCTCTGTAATGTTTTGATCCTGGCACCATGACAGCCCAGAAGCTCTCATTTCATTCTCACACCATCTCCTCCATGTCACCCTGGGACACCCAACTCGCCGTTTCCCATCTGGGTTCCACTCAAGTGCCTGGCGCGTGTTATATCCAGTCGGCCCTCTCAGTGTATGCCCAATCCAATCCATCTCCACTTCCTTCTACATATTTTTTGAGCGATAGGTTCTTGGTTGGTTCGTCCCCAGAGTTACTTGTTGCTTATTATTTCTGGCCATCTGAGCTCCAGTAACGAGCCAGAGTAGGCAGTTGTTGATGAATATCTATAGTTTGTTGGAAATGCCTTGCGTAACGCGCCAAGTCTCTCAACCACGCTTTCTGCTGAGTGCAAAAGGTCTCCACACTGGTTTCAGGCCAATGAAAGCCTGTCTTGCTGTCTTTCTGATCCTGGCTTTGACGTCATCGTCTGTGCCGCCGCTTGTAGTTGAAACGATGCTGCCTAGGTGGGTAGGTGAAAGAGGCTACTTCCTTTAAGTTTCTCCCGTTGATGGTGATTGAAGCTTGTTGTTGTTGGTGGTGTTGGTTGGGTATCTTCACCACCTCTGTCTTCTCTACGTTCACTTGAAGTCCCGTCTTTGCTGCCCTGCCTCTTCTGTCAACTTGTTAGTTTTCACCTGTAGATCTTCAAGTTTGTGTGACACAAGTCATCGGCGAAATCCAAATCTTTTAAAATCTTTTCCTCGGTCCAGCCAGCTTATCCCCCCTCTTCTCGCTTCTCACTGTTTGTTGCATGATCCAGTCCACCAGAATCAGGAAGATCATAGGTGATAGTAGATGGCAGCTTTATCTTACTCCTGTCTTCACTTCAAAGGCATCACTGGGCTTCACATTGTCCATTACTTGGCACGTGGCGCCTTCATATAGTTGTTGAATGAGGTTGATAAAGGTTTGTGGCACTAAAAGCAGTTACCAAATTATTTCTCGGTCGACGCTGTCACTTATCAAAGTTAAATAAACAATTTAATCATATATATAATGCTTTCTGTTATTTCCCGTTCATATTCAGGGTAATCTGTTAGATGATGACAAGATTATTACACATTTGGAGACATTGAAACAAGAAGCCGGTGAAGTGGCTAAAAAAGTTGAAGAAACTGATGTTATCATGAAAGAAGTTGAATCTGTATCTCATCAGTATGTTGCCTTAGCTCATTCATGTTCAAGTATCTATTTCACACTGCAAGCTATGAATCAAGTTCATTTTCTATATCATTATTCTCTACAATTCTTATTGGATATATTTAATTGTGTATTAACACAGAATGTTCGATTAAAAGATATTAAAGATTGCGCTCAACGTTTACAAATTATTACAAAAGATTTATTCCAGGTATGTGTTTACACTTTTCTTGTATAGTTATATTAACTACTTTTCGTTCTCCATTTCTGTTGTATTTTAAAATATTTTTCAAGGAAATCAAACAATACAGTAATGATGAACAGTGGAATCTAGGATGCACATTTCGTCCTACTTGGGACTCGTCAGCTGGATGTACCTGCCTCCCAGTGAGTGATGTTGTTCCCACCTGGACTCGGACTCGCGAGCGATCGCTTCACACACGACAGCATTATCCACTACACCACCGAGCCACAATAGCCACTTCTTATGCAATAACACTATAACTAGATATAATGATAATAATGGGTGATGGCTAGCAGTGGAATCCAGGACATGGGTTTCATTCTGTATGAGATGTCAACTCGGTCTAATCAACGACGAGAAGTTATAAGCAATAACATAATTAAACATAATATCTATCTAGTTTCAATATAGCGTATATCTATGCTAATATTTTATCTAAATTTGCAACAACGATACAAAAATTTGTCTATCTTGTTTCGGCTCCTGGGTTCAAGTCTTAGCGGGAACAACTTTACTCACTGTAAAGTAGATATGTCCTGGTGATGAGTTCTAGATAGGACGAAACCCCACATTCTGGATCTCACTGCTAGCTACTTTCCATCAACGATCTAAACATTTGTTTAGTGTAAAGTAACATTGTAATAAATATTTAGAATTCACTTTCATCGAGAGAGGACACATCGGCTTGGCCAATAGGCTTTCCGAAGGCTTTCACCAAGTGGGTGTCATTTGGTGTCTCCGATTCCAGCGAGGAATAAGTTTGTTATTATTTTTATAATCCCTTTGTGCTTTGAAGTTTGTTTAGCGATTGGATTGGTTTTGGGTGGGGGGGGGGGGGTAAGGGTTGCTTGACCTATGCCTAACCTTCTCTGTTTAATCCGGGTTTAGGACCAGCTAGTAAACTTGGTGATAGCTGGCATTGAAAACCCTGCACATCTTTTTATATAGTATGCTTTACTATGTACAGTACTCATTTTTCAGTTTTTCTTTTCTAAAGAAACTACTCAAAACAAACTTTATTGTGTCTCCTTTTTTTTCTTCTGTATCATAGATAACATATAATCGTGTTGCTCGAGGAATGCTGCATAATGATCAAATTACCTTTGCTGTTTTACTATCTCGTATATTCATTAAAGGTCAGGTTAGTGGTATGCCTAGTATCCAACAGAATGGTCTTGAAGCTGAATTCAATTGCTTCTTACATGGTCAAGAAACTGTCAAAGAAGGTGGGAATGATTCTTCATCTGGCAGTGATGCTCAACAACATGTATTAAGCAGAGGTCAACGGTTGAAGACAGCTTTAGCTGCTTTTAAGAATTTAGATAAACTAGTTTCTGAAAAGAGCGATTCTTTCAAGTCTTGGCTAGAGAGTGTTTCACCTGAAGTGAGTATATTTTGTACTTATGTTTTGAAATTTTGTGTGTATTTGTCATTTTTGACATAGATACTTACCAATATAAAAACTTTTATCATTTTAATCCATTCATTTTATATTAACATTTTATAGGTTGATGTTCCTGAGTTATGGGAAGCATCCAGCTCATCGAATAATTGGTTCGAAGTTGTACGTAACCAACTGTATAGTCTCTTATTAATCCAAGCCTTCCGTCCTGATCGTATGCTTGCCTCTGCACATTTACTTGTCTCTACTTGTTTTGGGCAAAACTTTATGGACTCTGCTCGTGGTCATTTAGAATTAATGCCTCTTGTAGAGCATGAAATTCGAGCTAATATGCCAGTTTTACTTTGTGCTGTTCAGGTAAGTCACTTAAGCAGTTCATAGTTTGTAGATGCTTATGCACAATATTTAATATGGTTCATATTTTAGTTTGAAAAGTCTTGTCGGTTGAAAAGCTGTGGTCTGCCACCTTTTTGCCTCATAAACTTTCATATTTCATGGTAAGCGCGTTACTTTCGATGAAGTGTTCCAGAATGTAGTGATCAACTTTCACATCTTCAATCAATTTATGATGTAGGTCAGGTCATTTCGCCTTATTTCCAACTTTCCATTTTAGTACTTTTTAAATACGTGGAACCTGCTGCATATTTACGTGCTGACTTGGCTTCTTGCTTACTTTTCATGAGACGATCAGAATTGATGATTTCATTATTATTCCCTTGGGCTCCTAGTGGAACATAGGGCTTCAGTAGTACGCCTCCATTACACTCTGTCCTCTCCAGTCTTTTGAACCACAACCCACCACTGCCCACAAGCTTTCACATCTTCTCCTCCATGTCACCCTCGTCTCGGACACACAACTCATCGTATCCCCTTTAGATTCCACTTGATGACCTGGTGTGGTGTATGATGTCCCCAATCAGCCTTCTCAGTGTATGCCCGATCCAATCCAATCCAATGCAATCCACCTCCACTTCCTTCCACTGCCTATTTGTTGGGTGAAGGGGTTTCTGGTTGGTTGGTTGGTTGCCAGTCAGTCAGTCAGACTTCCTTGTTACTTATTCTTATTATTCTGGCCATCTGATCTTGAGTATGGATTGAGCGTAGGTGTCAGCAGGTGTTGAATATCTGTAGTTTGTTGGAAATGCTTTGCATAAAGCGACGCCAAGTTTCTGAACTATATAGCGGTACTGACTTGACTGAATTGGTGTTGAGAATGCAGATTCTATTCTTTGTGCTGACTGCAGTAGATCTCCACATTGATTTTAGATTAATGAAAGCCTGTCTTGCTATCTTTCTGATCCTGGTTTTGATATCCTCGTCTGTACCTGACTGATTGCTATATCCACGTGGTTACTGACTGCATTTGAATTTTCGTCCCGGTGGTGTACTCATAACTAGTGCCTTTTTTGTTTGCCTTATCACTTTTCTTTTTACCACAGTCCATATTCTTTCCATCTCCTTCGACTTCTACTCCATGATAGAGTGAACAGCTCAAATCAATATACGGCAGTATCAAGTTACATGTCGCTTGTGTGTCTTCATACTATTTTATTGTTATTATTACCACTACCATTATCATTGTCGCCATTATTATTATTGATGTTATTGCGTACTATTGGGTTAATTTTTCTCTGTCAGAGATTGTATTTAGATAACATTTATCTTTACACTTGTTATGTACTTACTCCTAAGGGTTTCGATCCAAGCGGTCAAGTGGAGGATTTAGCAAATGAAAATAAAAAACAATTAACAAGTATAGCTATTGGTTCTGCTGAAGGTTTTTCACAAGCTGACAAAGCAATCAATGCTGCAGCGAAAAATGGAAAATGGGTTATGTTGAAAAATGTGCATTTAGCCTCTAGTTGGTTGGTACAATTGGAGAAGAAACTTCACAGTGTTCAACCTCATCCTAATTTCCGACTATTTTTAACAATGGAAATTCATCCTAAATTACCAGTGAATGTACTGCGTTCTGGTCGTGTGCTGGTATTTGAACCGCCTCCTGGAATAAAAGTTAGTTATTTCTCATTTGTATCTGGTGTACTTTCTTCAAATGTTATCTTCACACTCACATCTCATTCACTTAAGTAGCATAATTTATCCTTTTTTTTTGATATGGAACAAGAATTTCGTACAACGTCGTAACAATAAGATGTGTCATATAATGTAATAAAGCAGCACCATGTATGCGCAAAACGGAAAAAAACATTTATGAAAGCATAAATAGGTTACTATAGCAGTCTCATAATGTATACATACATACTTACAAGGAAGTACCCAGTTGTTTCATTTTACTCTTTAGTAAGTGGAAAAACAAAAGTGCTACAGTACGATAGCTTGTGCTCTCGATTCTGAGTTATACTTGCTGTCATCTCAAGCCACTGCGTTTCATGATCTCATGGATCCTGTTTAGAGAGTCACGGATTGCCAACAGATGCTAAGGCAATAAGATTATGCTTCACTATAAAGCACCACGACATGTACTGGTCACCTTCTCACCTTTCTCAACCAGTCCGTGGGCAAGCAAGCAGTAAACCCTAGGGTAATCGCGGAAGAAATATTTACAGCACATTCCAAAGCCATCGAAGCCAGTATTTCAAGATGAACAGCGAAAATATATGCTTTTAAGCCCTCGCTGTACCTGAGATTTTTTAATCTAGACCTCTCAAGGTGTTAACAAACCTCTAACAGTCATCCCTCGATAACAGATAGTTTCACAATATAGCCGTGTCAAATGAATCGATGCAGCTCTAATATCGAGAAATAGAACCACCGTTAGCCTGCAGTACGTGTGATAGTGTTGGAGCATGTAGCATATAACGAACGAGTGATCGATGCGCCCGTGAACCTGGAGAGAAACCTGTCTGTTTTCAGTCGGTCATCTTGATACACATTCCGTAGAATCTAGGAACTATGATGGTAGCCATTATTTTAGGTGCTATTGGCAACCGGTTGGTAGCTCAGTGATTGACGCATACGTTAGGTAGACCCTTTTTTAAGATGGATGTAGCAATAACTCTATTCTAGAGTGATGGAACACTCAATCTGCAAAACTCCAAACCATATAAACAGTATTTTGGCTACAGTCTCACTTCTATCCTTAAAAAAACAAGGACTAAGTTTTCTCTACCCAGTGCCATTGGAGCCTGCAGTACTTAAGTATCTGCGCTTCATTAGTTGAATCGGTGTTAACCAACTGTGGCATACAAGATACTGAGGTTGGTGGTTACTACGGAAGTATACTAGCTGAACTGCTTTTGGAAGTGCTCCACCCAGCTTCCCATGTGTCTGTGTAATTTGTTGATCAGCTGAGCATCTGCTTTGGGGACTGTTTCAATATCACCAGGCTTCTTGCTGCTGATGGCTCAAATCAACTGAAATAGCCTCCGGCTATTGCCAGATGCAACCGTCACTTGTATTTCACTCGTACTTTCTGACTACCAGAAATCATGGTCCTTGCTTAAATGCTGTCTGGTCTATCGCATGAAAGACGCACACAATTGTACCTACTCCCTGGCGGTCGGTATACACTGAAAATCGCCAAGAAGTGACAAGAAGCTAAGAAATACCTGGTGTATACTGACGATGTTCTTCGAAAACACAAGCACCACTGATCATTTTCATGACGTGTTGTAATTGCCTACAATGTTCATCTTCATTTCTAGCCTTAAATCAAGCTCGGTTTGGTGTTTAATTGCAATAATAGGTGCAATCATATTGCTTGCGTCAACCTGCGTAAATCCGAAATATTCATGAACATCAAAACTCAAGATGAATTTAGCACACTAAAGCGTGATCCGAGTTTAGGTAGGCGCTCTATGATAGATGGTAGTCCTGAGTGCCCACACATGAATTAAAGGCAGAAGGAGAACTCCAACGGCTATGATTTGCGGGTAGGATGGTACCGGCTGAAAATTAACTATACTGTGCCCAAAGCTGCAAAAGAAGGTTCCGATTATCCAGCCTGTGATCGACTATTCCTCATTGTCCGCGTAAATGACCCTCTTTAGGGGCTGGATGCCTGAGCTGGGCATTCTATTCTCCAACTAGCACTACGATATCTGTTGAGGGTGCCTAGTAGAGAGTCACTCAAGTATCATATTTGTAAAGAAATTTCGATCTGATCTTATATTTATTCTATTTGCTGTTAAATTTACTTTAAGCATAATTTTGATGACTTTTTATCCATACTCTAGGCAAGTCTTTTGCGTACATTCGCTAATGTACCTGCTAATCGAATATCTCGTGCACCTGCTGAACGAGCTCGCCTCTACTTCCTACTCGCTTGGTTTAATGCTGTAGTGCAAGAACGATTGCGTTATGTTCCATTAGGATGGTCTAAACGATATGAATTCAACGAATCAGATCTTAAAGTTGCTTGTGATACAATTGATACATGGGTAGATATGGCAGCAATGGGACGTTCCAATTTACCACCAGAAAAGGTACCATGGTGTGCATTACGCACACTTTTGGGACAGTGTATTTATGGTGGTAAGATTGATAATCTCTTCGATCAACGCCTGATGGAAACATTTCTCAGTGTATTGTTTACGGAGACTAGTTTTGAGGTATGTTTTCTGTTTATTGATAGTATAATTATTTCCGCCATTATACTATACTATACTAACAAGTTAATAATCTATCTTCAAGATGTTTTTCAAGTATGTGGTGAATTATTTGATTTCTTTCACCCCTAAGTCTTTTCACGGTAGCATATTTGTAAGTACTATTTTCCTTTTGAATTTCGTATAACGTATTTCCCGTTTGTTTTAGCATGACTTCCCTCTTGTTCGAAATGTCGATGGACAAGTTGGTAAGAACATTGTAACACCTGATGGTAGTTCACGTGATGAACTGTTATCGTGGATTTCAAAACTACCTGATATTCAAACGCCATCATGGCTTGGCCTGCCTAATAATGCAGAAAAGGTCCTTCTAACAAACTTAGGTAAGTTATTTCGATGTTAAAGGTTGTACTGTACAAGTCTTATTGTTGTATTTTGACAACCATATCTTAATTCTTGGGACTGTGTCAACCGTTTTGTAGTTCAGTGGAATAATTGGTGTTCTAAAAAATACATACTTTTTTACTTCCATGAATAACATTCATGTTGCCAACCAATGGAGAGTCGTAACCTGCAAAACAAACCTGGGTGGCTTTGAGGAAAAATGCCCAACGATGATATTGGGTGGCTGTCGCGCTACGTCGTGAACTGACAGAAGTTAGGAACACGGACCGTTGGATTGTGATCCAGTGGCTCAATAGTAACATGCTAGTCACGGAACCTGAAGATCGTGGGTTTGGTCCCTGCGGGGTGGGGTCATGGGTGCACACTGCCGAGGAGTCCCATACTAGGACGAGGAAGCTGTTCAGTGTTCCCAGGTTTCCAATATTCCTCAAACTGATATCAGTCCATGATGAATACCAACTTGAGAAAAATAGCTAAATAAGTTGACTTAAAATGTTTGCACACACAGTTATATGAGACTAAAATATCACATCTTAATGTTTGATGTTTTTGATGTTTCGTATACAGATATCTTCATGAGCACTTTATCTGATCAGAAAGAGTCATCTAGTCAAACGTCTGCCTGTCTGATTTATACGTCTCGGTATGCTGTTTTTGATAGGATAACTCAACGTTCTGAAGCGTGATATAGAGAGTTGGATTAAAAATTCCCTCAGTTATACCATTTAGAAAGTCAATAAACAAACCACAACCCACTGTACCTCTACGTAACTAACATGTTTATATCGTATAAAACGACTTCCTGACACTCATGACATATATGTAGTAATTATCGAATAACCGAGTGATGTCTACATGGATGATGATCTTGATGTTTTGACACATCATATCAACACTATTAAGGTGAAGTCAAGAAATTTTCTCAACCCTCGTCCTTACTGATATTCAGTTCGTGTTATTTAGGGAATTAAAGACAGGTTATGACCAATGAGATTTGATGATGATATGTAACGATTAACTGCTTTCATAATAGTTTCCATCACATTTTTTAAACTATTTTTCCCCTTGGTTTCCTAGTGGAACATAGGGCTTCAGTAGCAAGCCTCCATTACACTCTGTCTTCTCCAGTCTTTTGAACCACAACCCACCACTGCCCACAAGCTTTCACATCTTCTCCTCCATGTCACCCTCGTCTCGGACACACAACTCATCGTATCCCCTTTAGATTCCACTTGATGACCTGGTGTGGTGTATGATGTCCCCAATCAGCCTTCTCAGTGTATGCCCGATCCAATCCAATCCAATGCAATCCACCTCCACTTCCTTCCACTGCCTATTTGTTGGGTGAAGGGGTTTCTGGTTGGTTGGTTGGTTGCCAGTCAGTCAGTCAGACTTCCTTGTTACTTATTCTTATTATTCTGGCCATTTGATTGAGTGGTGGCAGCTAATGATGAGTTGAATCTTGCTGTGATGATCCTGAAGGAGGATATTAATTCCTACTGGATAGCCACTCGAAAACTCAATGTGGTCGTGGTTATCTTCTGGGTGACAAAGTCGGAGTAGATTATCGACTCTGCAGTTAAGAGTTTGTAGAGTCGACTTCCATTCCATCTGCAGATTCCTAGCATTTCTGTGCCATATCTTTGGATTTCTTTTGGAATCTGTACAGCCTTGCTAGGTTCAAGTATTGTTTGGACATTCCATGTCCCCCCATTCTTACTTTTGTTTTCATCGGGAGAAGAGAAGACACATCGGCCGGTCCAATTGGCTTTCCGAAGATTTTCACGAAATGGTGTCATTTGGTCTCTCTGATTCCAGCTAGGAATAAGTTTGTTATTATTTTTTATAATTCCTTTGCGCTTTGAAGTTTGTTTAGAGATTGAATTGGTTTTGGGTGGGGGTGTATGTTAGGGTTGCTTGACCTATGCTTAACCTTCTCTGTTTATCCGAGTTTATGACCGGCTTGTAACTAGTGATCTAGTTAACCAGACGGGGTTAGTTTCCATCATAGATCGACATCAGTTAAAGAGCCATCAAAAGCCTGGAAGCCCTGAATGACTGTTTTGTCGTAGTTCAGGGTTGCCAAACCAAGACGTGGCACTGGTCCATAGAGTCCTTAGCTGTTGGTCTGAACGAGGCGGGGAAGATGTAATCTATCTGGCTGGGGTTTTCGCGATGATAGGAATCAGTGTTTGGGGACTTTTGGTGATATGTTTGAAAATCGGTCACAATGGCGCAGACGTCTTCACTTTTCGATGTCTTCTAATGCTTGTATAATTTCTGTGACCTTTAATTTACCATGATTTATAAAGTAGCTGGAGGTATTGAACGGAAATCTGTCCCTCCTTTTATTTCACAATCCATGATTCACTTTCTTTTTGTTGATCCTTCCCATTTTCAAGGCGATTCCAACAAGTACTTAAAAGTGTTTGCCCTGAAACATTGGACCTACTTTTCTACCTGTTAATACTCTTTAACGAAGCATATTTACAACCTCTAATTAACTGATTTATGGATCACCTTAAAGATTGAGAATCTCACATGATATTGCCACCTGTATGCTATTTTTATAATTTCACACTAAATATGACGTTGTTCACACCGTTTGTTATTTGTTCAATAGATTGAAATGTATCCCTTTTAATTTGTAGGAGGTGAAATGATTGGCAATCTCTTGAAATTACAAGAGGCTATCAGTGATGATGATTCAATTGTTGTAAGTTCAGGATTAGATCGTAAGAAATCAGTGGTAGACACTGACACTAGACCTTTATGGATGCGTCAACTTTTATCTAGTGCTAAAACATGGCTTTCACTTCTTCCGAATACTGTTAAACCGTTAACACGTACACCTGAAAATCTACGTGATCCATTATATCGTTTCTTTGAAAGGGAAGTCAATACTGGCTATAATCTTTTAATGACTGTTCGACAAGATCTTACTGTGGTTATCGCTGTAAGTGTATTATGAAATTCATTGTTTATGATTCTTTTCAAATGGAATGATAACAGTTTCATTTATCTTACGAAGTTGTTATTCTGTTAGAAAATGACTATCAATATATCACTGTTGTACATCACAGATTCACCATACTGGCTGTATGAAGTTAGATTTTTGTTATTGTTTTGTTCTTAAGTTAACTAGAACTATCAAAGCACATTATCAGAAAAAAGGGGTATTAAATGTGGATTTTGTCGAAGATGTCTTGGTAGAACTTCTTGTTCAACTTAAGTTTTCCATACATTGTATTAGTTGTATAGACAGATCGAATGCAATGGTATGTCAGTCTATTAGTTCTTAGTTCATATAATTAAATATTTAATGCGAATTGCAGAAGGAAGTGGAGATGGATTGGGCATGCACTAAGAAGACCATTCGGGAACATCACACTCCAGGCCCTCGAGTAGAACCTAGATGGGAAACGACAAGTTGGGCGTCTGAGGGTGACACGAAGGAGATCACGTAAGGAGGAAATGAGAACTTCTGAGTAGTCGTGGAGCCAGGTTCAAAAGATTGCAGAGAATAGAGTGGAATGGAGACGTGCTACTGAAGCCCTATGTTCCATTAGGGACCCAAGTGACAAATAATAATAATAGTAAATCCTGGCGAATTTATACCTTGTGAAACTTCATATTTGACCACAAACTTGTATCTCATCAAATTATCTTACTTATTTTATTTATAATAAAATATCAGACTTCATAACTAACTAAGCAGCTGAATCTGATAAACTTCATTTCAACTGTGATATGTTTCCATGGTGTATTTCGAATGAATATATATATATATATATATATATATATATATATATATATATATATATATATATACTTTTTCATATCATTACCATTTAGGTGTGTTCTGGTGAACGTAAGCCAACAAATCATCATCGATTGCTAATGTCTGATCTTACGAAAGGAATTATTCCAAGAGATTGGCGCAGTTATACGTTCCCTGCTGGACTGACTGTCATCCAATGGATAAATGATTTTGTTGCTCGTCTTCGACAATTACTATTGATATCTGAAACAGCATCTTCAAGTGGAGTGGCTGGTCTAAGAGATATACAGGTGCGTTTCATATGAATATCAACTAAATCCTATTAAAGTCACATTATAATCTTCAGACAATTTATTCAGTCTTTTCATTGATTTCAATGTCTTCAGTTGAACTAAAATCAGCACTACTACCTATTTATGCTTTTTGATAGTGTTGTGTTCTGTGAGTTAAATGTTTGAACCGTGATGCTGTCGTTGTCATTCTAGACAACATCACCAACACACACTTCAGAAAGGACTGACCTATTAGGTTTTCTTAGCAATTTATTTAGAAGTTTGACCTTATGACCTTGCGTGTGATTGGTTGTTCCTACTCAAGATTTTCTGGATGGTCAAGAGAAGTGATTACATAACAGACATATATTCATGAATGTCAGGAGGTGTGAAAATCACTATCACGTATACTAGCAATATATGATAAAGTAATTTAACGGGGAGTGATGACCGGTAGAAATTGAAAAATATTTAATATACTAGTAACGTGCTCATGATGCATCGTGTGCAGAAGATTTTGTGAACAGACTACATCGTATTCGGATGAGTAGGTGTCAAGGCAGTTGTTAAGTTGACGGTAATCACATTTGTAGGATTTTAATTCGACATAAACTCCTATCCTCGGAATAATTTATCTACTATGACATAGTTTTCCTCTTGATGTTAACAATGTATATTTGATGTTTTCCTTTTTTTGTCTCATGTATTACTTGAAAGGTTTGGTTGGGTGGACTTTTTATGCCTGAAGCCTATGTTACAGCGATAAGACAATTTGTAGCTCAATCTAATGGTTGGGCACTTGAAGAACTATATCTAGATGTTGAACTTGTTGTCATGGAGAAGGGTAAGAAACCACCTCAATTGCCTTCATCAAATTCTGGAGCATTTGTTGTTCGGGATTTATTGTTAATGGGTGCTGAACCATTGGATTCAAGTACAATTCGCCTATCAAGTTCTATTTCAGTTGAACTTCCTTTGACAGTATTGAAATGGATCAAGTAAGTTATTTGATGCTTAACATATTTGCATATTTGCATAATATCTGTAAGTAATTCACTTCAAGCAGTGCTCTTAGTTTGTGTGTGTGTGTGTGTGTGTGTGTGTGTGTGTGTGTGTGTGTGTGTGTCATAAAGAAAGTCACTAAAGGAATGTTATATGAATTTATGTGGAATGGTCTGCATTTGAACAGCTCATAAACACTTTATTCCAGTTAAATATTTGCAATGAAGGCAATAATGTTAAAGTTATAGAACTACATCCAATAATCAAAGTTCAGTTAAAGTCTGTCGTGCGCTCTTTATGATCTATAGAGAATTAGACCAGCTCTTAGAGACTGGTTGACATGAAATTGGTTACTCTCCAGTGACTAGTCAATATACCTTACAGCAAGTCAGTCGCAGCCTTAATAAGCTGAGTAATAACGTCTTCGATTGTAATCCGTCGTCTAAAGTGTGGGGGTCCATTTTCTTCGTGGTGACAGATACACCTTGCTTGAAAAGTGCTAATAAGCATGGAGGTTGGGTCGAGCAATGCTTTCCTGTTGATTGTCTCCACCCACTAAAATTTTATAAACCTTTGACAAGCATATTAGATCATTTATTTAATCAAATATTGACTTGGATGTCTACAGCGAAAGTTATTTAGGATAATTAAATGGTTAATTCGCAAATATGTACATTTTAAAAATGAGTTGGTTAGTGGTAATGTTATTCACCAAATCTCATTTTCCAACTTATTAAGCAATATTCATCATCAAAATGTAACAGTTTACTGATACAAAAAGCTACGCTTGATTCCGTTATCACTAAGCTGATGTGTTGTAATCAATTCTCTTTGTACATTGACTTTGTTTTTAACTAGTTACAGTTATCTCATATCAGATAGGAGGATACAATCTTTCTTCAAAAATTGAAAACTGTAAACGATTCTGTCACCGATAGAGTTGTACTTTGACGTGGTGGTCGGGGGGGTGTATAACGCATTGACCCGATGAGCTATGCTGGTGGGTTACCTGTTCCCTCGAGGTCCTACCAAGTCAGAAAGGTCTGTTGGACAATGGTTAGACAGAAAGCAGTTATCATTATAGTGTAGATTGCTACGCTATGAGGGCGGAGTCAGCTGCTGACTCGATGGAGTGTGACAGCCGTAAGGTGTTTCTCTTGGTACGGTCGTACTGCCTTCTCTGGGATTGAGGGTTAGAAAAAGTCTGCCCCTAAGATTACTATACACCTACGGCATGGCGATGCCTGTAACAGAAATTCATAGTTGGATTCGAAAGCATAAAATGAAATCTGAAACTTGCAAAAAACCTGTGTGTGACTGACCTCAAGCAGGTACTTTGAGGAGAAATAGCCCTCCATAGTGTAGGCAGTCGGGAAATGTTGACCGCCCTTATAACTGTCAGAACTCAAGTTTCCTCAGATCACTGTCCACTCTCTATTTCCATACATTCTAATCTTCCTTCACGTCATCAGCTATAATCTCTGTCAGCTGTACAGCTTTCGACAACGATCTTAATTCACAGAACAGCACCCTTGGTCTCTTGAAACAACTCTGGTTCATGTGTTATTTGCGAAAAAAGTGTCATTTATAAATGTAACAGTGAAATGAATTTGATATGTATACGGTTGTATTCTAATCTCTCTACTTGACATCAATAAACATAATGAAACTCATCTGACACACTCAAGTTAGTACATTGGAGATAAAACTAAACCTGTTGTATGAAGACTACTGTTTTCACCTAACTCTGAACCTTAATATATGTAACGGGGTTTAAAGGAATGATGTCTGGTACCGAAGCCGCCAAGCTGTCGATCTCGTCATATTATATGCCTATAAATCCTAGCATTCAGTATGAACTATTTAGAATATGAAATCAGTTGACAGGAAACTATAGATCTAGGTTTCATGCATATTCGCAGTCATCAAGAAGGTATATTTACAACCATAAGGATACTGATATTCCCTTGGTCATTCGAATCAATGTCACTTAGTATTCAAGTCAAGTATCGTAGAACTAAGCTCTTTAGACCACTAGTGATCATTTACAGGAATTCGCTGTAGCTGAATGAGTCCCATATGCATTTAACAGCGATCCAGTCATGCAAATATCTGTTATATGTTACTTTTCTTGTTATAATGTTGAAACAGTTGTTGCGACTGGGACCGATGCAAGTTTGTATTATTTGGTAGTGTATCTGTTTTATGCTTCTTTACCATTTGGTGAATCCTTATTTTTTCTAATATTTTACAGAATATCATCTGATCAACGAACTGAACTTCTCGTCGAAAAAGAAGGCAGTGTACGATTACCAGTTTATATGAATGGTTCACGTAGTGTGGTATTATTTACCTTACAGTTACTATCCTCTGAACCATCTAATCGTTTCTATGAACGTGGTGTAGCTTTTCTTGCATCTTCTCTTGCCTGAACAACAGCCTTTTGATTATTTCTCTGTAACTACATAGTAAGACAAATTAACTTTCATTTTATTTTACAACTATTATCAAGTACATATATACAACAGTCAGTACTTAACTGTCATTCTTTGCGCCAGTGTACTCATCACTTTACAGAGAAGATATAGATACATTGGACCGATCAGATTGTTTGAAATATTGTTGAAATATTGAACTATTTTATCAGAAAATTTTGCAACCTATTTCTTGTTCAAATTCTTCATGTCTGTCTGTTCCTTGTTGGTTTTATTTCCCATCTAACTCCTCACATATCTATCCGATGGCTTACCGGTCATATTTATTACTCTGTTGGTTTGTCTTGTTTGAATTACCATATGTTTTTATTTGTTTTAATAATTTTATCCGATCGTATTTTGCTTTTGTTTTCCTGGTTTATGAACAATTTCTCCTATCCTGTATCTTTTTGTGGAAGAGAGAGAGAGAGAGAGACTACAACGTCATTTATGCATCATTCTGCTTGTAGGTGTTTTATTATTGTTATCCACCTATTGTACCTTACATTCATAACTTTTGGTGGTTGGGTGTTGTGATTTCCTTTTTTATTCTTCCTTTGGTCTCCTTTTTTATGTAACAAGCATCCTTTCTTGTTGAATAACCAGTATTGTCAATAATGCCGTAATAACTTCTCACATATTGTTGTTATCGTCAGTGTCTGCTTTCGTTCAGGTGTAATAAGGACTGATTGTGAGGGGTTTGTTAGCTAATAACTTCAATAACGGCTTCCAACTTCATCGTTAATATATTTCTGGATGTTAAACTTTTCTCGTGATGAAAGTTTTCTTATTTATAATCTAGTGGAGCTTATGGTTTATTGATGCAGACTCTCGACTTTCAACCAGTTGGTAACAGTTCCACCCGTTAAGGTTTGGGCAACCAGGTATTACCGTTACTTCTCATGTTATAGGTATGCCTATTGCATGCATGTGTATATGGTTGTCGAGTTACATTTCAATTTCCTTAACAAACGGTCTAGTTCTTATGAGTGAAGACTTATAAGATATAGTTTTTGCAGCACCAGTGTGAAAGAGATTTTTCACCCTGAAAATACGAAATGTAATAAAATCAATCAAACCTTTTTCCTGTTCAAGTGACCGTTAAAATCAACATAGAATCTGGCTTACAGGCGCATCGGCTGAAGTTGCCACAGTAGTATACCAAGAACATGGCGGTAAGAAAAGAGTGATATCAAAGATAAAGTAGTGTGAACGAATAAAAAATTTGAAGATAACAGTTAGTGCGAATATTCAAACACTATAAGGCGTCAGAAAGTGAATGCATCTACGCCATAGTGACCGATTTTCAACCATATCAACAAGAGTGCTTAACAACTGATTCCTTTCGTCTTGGAGTCCCTAACCAGCCAGTTTGCGTCTTCCCAGAAGAGTCAGACCAGCCAGCAGTCAGAGACTTTATGGACACTGGTGTGAGGTCTTGGTCTAGTCACCTTGAACCCTCCTTTAGCCTGATCCAACTTCTCTCAACATGAGAAGTCTAGGTAGGCAGTGGCTTGTTGTTGATGAAATAATTAATCTGGAATTAATTTGATTAGTTGTGGCATTCTTTTGAATGCATCCTATCAACGTTGTTGAAGCCATAAAGAATCGAATGTTTTATTTAAGATATATATATATATATATATATATATATATATATATATATATATATATATATATATATATATATATATATATATATATATGCATGCATTATTTTCATTTATTTGTCCCTTGGGTTCCTAGTGAAATATAGGGCTTCAGTAGCACGTCACCATTTCACTCTCTTCTCTGCAGTCTTTTCAACCTCGATCCACCACTGCCCATAAGCTTTCATTTCTTCCTCACACAATCTCCTCCATATCACCTTCGAACGCCCGACTCGTCGTTTCCCGTTTCACTTCCACTCGACGACCTGGCCTGGTGCGTGATGTCCCCAATCGGCCTACTCAGTGTATGCCCACTCCAATCCAATCCAGTCTGTCTCCACTTCCTTCCACTGCATATGCCGTCCTCCCCCCCAAACTGTATGAAAGGTTCAGGAATGAGACGTTTGAAAGCATCTTTCTTGGTGAGTTTTCGACAGCATTCTTCATTGGAAATATGTAGACAGAGTGAGATGGGACAGTTGTTTTGGCGTATAAACGATTATTTTAAAGCCAAGACATCAACACATTCTTCTTCACTCAGGTGTTTACTACCAGTGAGATCTTTAAAAAGTTTCCACATGTTGGAAGAGCCTTTGCACGAAAAACTTTCTGGTTATATAGTAGACTCACGTTTAACTTTCAACCTGATTAAAACGTTCAGTTGACTAGCACCAATTTTATCACTTACTTTACATAACCTTTCTTTTCTCTTCTTAGCGTCTTAAGTTGAGGAGAAGATTAACAATCGAAGCGTAAAAATATTATTTCACTAGGGCTACAGATATCTTGGTAAAACTTGAGATAACATATTTCACCATCGATAGTATCATTCAAAACATCTCTGTCAAATATATTCCAGCCTGTGTCCTGTAGCAACATAATACTTAAAAACATCGACATAAATGATCCAACTCACTTCTAAAAGGCAAGCAAACTGAACAATTACTATGAAAAGCCACTAAATCAGTTTACCTACTAGTATTTTATTCCTTTCGGCATGAACTGACGCCCAGAGTATATATTACTGTATTCCAATTGCTGCTGGCTAGATAATGTTTTGTACTTTCAATGTACTTCATTAATTAGTGGTATCAGCGTCACAATCTATACAATATGAAATCTAAATGTGGGATACCTTTTTGTTAAAAGTACTATAATATGTTTTTTTTAAAATAAACAAATTATACTGACATTTTATTTGTTACATAATTATTTTCTAAGAAATTCAATATTTCTTATAAAGTACATCTGTATTTAAAGAAAACCTACTTTGCTCTCTCGAAATAGGAAGATAAGATGTACATGGAAAATGAAACGATAATTAGTACTGGTTGTCATTATGAATAAATTTAGTAATCAAGGGAGAAATCTCACTGGCATGTCTATAATCTAGACTAATAAATTGAAATAGTACATTTAACAAGCATATTAATGGTACTACTATTACTACCACTAATTATTGTTACCATTATTACTATTATTATTATTGTAGAAGTGATCTACTTACTTGTCATACACTAAAACACCAAAATTAACCATCTCCATCTACATTTCACATTAATTGTTCAATTAAAAGTTAACGAAAAACATATTTGTTTGAATGAATGATGAAACGATAATAGTAGCACTTAAATGGAGGGAAATTTAACCAAATGGATTTGTAAAATACCTATGAAAAAATGTCATGTGATATATATTATTTTATCAACGCAATCGTTTCACTTCATAACCTAGTTAAATATAAAGATTAACATTTGTGTTCTCTGCTTACAAGTCTTTTAATGATAGTTTTCAATCATATTGCATAATGATTTCAGGGTTAAAGGGTATATTTTTTTTAGAAACTATCATAGTACAATATGCTAGGGAGATAGGCTTTTGAAGCGACAGTCAACAACTTCAGTTGGTCAAGTAAGAAGTGCATTCAAGGTCATCTGACTTTAATCTCATCAAGTGAACATGAGTAAAGCGTTCTCATTTTATTTAATACAGAATAAAAAGACAACGAGTAGTGAAAAAGTGAGTGTACGAAAAGTGACAAATTTTTGTTAATAACTACATCGACATAGTATTTTTATGTAACTATAGGGTTTGGACTGTCTACTATCACCGATCATCTTCCTGATTGTGGTTAACTGGACTAGACTGGATCATACAAAAAACTGTGAGCAGCGAGAAGATAGGCCGATGAAAAGACCCTAGAAGATTTGGATTTCACGAATGATGACTTATGTCGAATTTCTTATCACACAAACTTGAAGATATACAGGCGAAAACCAACAAGTTGACAGAAGAGGCAAGGCTGCGAAGACGGAATCCCCTTCAGGTGAACGTAGAGAAGATAGAGGTGATAAAGATACCCAAACAACAATAGCAAGCACCAATCACCACCGATGGGAGAAATCTAAACGAAGTTTTCTCTTTCACCTACCATCTAGACAGTATCCTCTCAACTACGGGCGGTGGTGGCCACACACATCAGGATGTCAAATCCACGATCAGAAAGACACCAAGAAAACACTTCATTAATCCGAAATAATCAGTGTGGAGATTTACTCCACCCCACTCCACTCCACTCCATTGTACTGCACTCAGCATAAAGTCTGAACAACATCCCGATTTTCAACACTAATTCAGTCAACTAAGTCAGTACTTCTATGTGATGGTTCACAGAGTGGGCTGGGCGCCTTACGAAAAGCATTTCCAACAAACCACAGACATACATCAACATCAACAGCTCTCACCTACGCTCACTCGATACTGAAGATCTATCAGATGGCCAGAATAATAAGAATAAGCAACAAGATACTCTGGCTGGCTGCTGGCTGTCTGGCAACGAACCAACCAACAACCCATCGCCCAACAAATATGCAGTGGAAGGAAGTGGAGACAGACTGGATTGGATTGGAGTGGGCATACACTGAGTAGGCCGATTGGGGACATCACGCACCAGGCCAGGTCGTCGAGTGGAAGTGAAACGGGAAACGACGAGTCGGGCGTTCGAAGGTGATATGGAGGAGATTGTGTGAGGAAGAAATGAAAGCTTATGGGCAGTGGTGGATCGAGGTTGAAAAGACTGCAGAGAAGAGAGTGAAATGGCGAAGTGCTACTGAATCCCACTAGGAACCTTGGGGGCAAATAATAATATTAATAATTGGGTTCGGCCACCGCAGTAGACTGTAACTCCATATCAGATGAGCCCAAACAGCATTTTCCACAAACAGATTGTCGTTTGGGCTTCAATAAAGTTTTTCTTTCTGGCTTTTATTTATAAGGAGAGAGAAATATTCTTGATTAAGTAAATGTATTTATCCAATTATGTGAAAAGACTTTCTAAACGAACAACAATGGGATGAGATATGATGATCGTAACTGTGATAAATAATAACTGAAATGAATGATGATGGGGAGAAGATGGTATTTGTGGTCGTCAGTATGTGTCACCAGATGAATGATTTTTTAATCTCCAGTATGCGAAAAAACATGCAGTCAGACACTTTTTTTGATGCAATGAACTGATATGGTCATCGTATTTCGTATCCCACTCCATGAATATCTTTTCATAAACAAACAATCCTTCTAGTTTCTTCTCATCCAATTATAAATTCAGGAATACAGTTCACTTTGAGAATCATTATAATATCGTGTGTGAATTGTGATCAACCCAGTAAAAAATCCTTACCGACGGCATTTCATAATAACTCAAAATTACTGATAAGTTAGGAAATATGGACTATTTGATTCCTCCTATTGGTTTAGTTTTAACGTGCTGGCCTCAGAACCTGAGGGTCCTGAGTTAGGTCCCTGAGGGGGGGTCATGAGCTCACAGTGCTAAGGAGCCCATACTAGGATGAAACAGTTGCTTCTCCAAATAATGTCAGTCCATGATAAAAAAACCACGCAGAAATTATTGTTTCTAGGCAAGAATAATGCTTCCAAGAAGAAGACAGTCAGTTCCTCCTGTCCGCTAGGTACCTTCAGATACTTGTAGGGTGTAGGATCGTCAAGTTGATCACACCGTTCATACTTCGTTGACATCTTAAGAAGCAGTATACAGAGAAATGATAAAACTTTTTCCGTATAGGGATTTCTTTAAAATTGAGCCTTTCAACCTAAAGTGGACATAT